TATAAATCCGCATTTCACTTCTATGGAAAATCTCGATTTCAAATATCAATTATTAGATAGAAAACTGGAATATATCAATGATCCTTAACAAGACACGCGCCGGTCAGAATGCTCCAATATTTATGTTGACCACAGAAAAGAATTCTCATTTGAACTATTTTTTTGTTCATTTGAACTATTTTTTGTTTATTTCATTAATAATATTTTTATAGTTCAAATGAAAATAGTTCTAATGAACTAAAAAATAGTTCAAATGAGCAATATATTTACTCGTTTGAACTATTGTTCATTTCAACTACTCACGTGGTCCCACGTGCAGTAGTTGAAATGAACAATAGTTCAAATGAACAATAGTTCAAATGAACAATAGTTCAAATGAACAATAGTTCAAATGGCAGTAGTTCAAATGAGCACCACATTCAATGTGTATTGAACGATTTAAAAACTTTTGCAAAGACGATCGAGGAATAGTAATTGTTTTTATAAATTCTTACGTGGCATATTGCGCTGTTGACAATAAGATAAATGAAATAGAGAAAAGAACAGATTTCGCACACGATATCATAATACTACCCGATCTTTTTATGTTTAATTAATTAAAAAAAATCCAATTCATGTTATGGTAATTGTTATCTAGGTTTAGACGACAAAATGGAATTGTTTACTTAGTGAGGTTCCATATTGTTGGTCAGATTTATCAGAGCTGAGTCTAGGCCAAGTGAGTATAATAGTGTCTAATTTCCACTTTCAATTCGGACATATTTTTAATCAAATGGTACGTGGACCGGTTAAAACAAATTAATTTCCAGGGTTGGGGTTCGAAATTTGTGTAAATGCAGACACTTTATCGGCCGTGCCGCAGCGGCCACATGTCCAACTGTGATCTTAGAAGCCTGAAAAACTTTAAATTTCTTGCACTTTTTTACTAACTTGTTTACTTGTAGAATAATCTGCAGAGGGCCTTTTGGTCCATAGCGCAGATGTCGGTATAGTCCTCACGGAACAGTGTGCTTCGTCTGATCTGAGCTTCAGAATTAGCCTCGCCTACACTGATCCTGACGGCATAAATAAGATTACAGATTGATTTTATCAAGTCTTGCCTTGAAAAGTTTAACTGTTCTGGCATCCTTTACGTCTGTTGGAAGATTGTTCCAGAGGTTTACAACTCTATTAGAGAAGAAACTTTTTCTAATATCAGTTCTAGATCTAGTTGCAAGTTGATAAGGAGGGGGGGCCAAAGATCGTTAACTAGGAAATTACTGAGAATTTGACAGTTTCACGGAAATGATTTCACTTTTAATATATTTCAAATATACTTTGATCTAGAATGAGTGAGTTGCAGGCAAGCCTGGAGTTCTCAATAGAACTTCACAAGTTTTACAACGTTGATCTGTTCCAGCGAGGATATTATCAAATCAGGGATAACCCTGGTTCTCTCATAATTATAATAAGGTTTATAGTATGCTTCGCGCCCCCTCTGTTAAAGTAGCTTCGTGTTGTTGGGATTTCTTCAATTTCTTCTTTCAGTTTGAATATTGGAAGTATACTTATTCAGCAAATCAACTTGAGGGAAATGAAGATTTGTGAGTAGATACTGTCAAAATTGTTTATATAAAGGGGGGGGGGGGTTAACCTGCTGTGTATATAGATTTAGAAATGTCAAAATCTAAGTTTATTTTTGATTTTATTTTTAACTTTAACTAGAGATGTTGTGGTATGTATGGACTTGGACACTAATTGTTAAAGATCTTTCGGACAAAGATATTAATTATGTCAGATTTTATGGTTTTGAATGTTTTGAAGTAGCATTGTTTTCACAATGTTCCCCAAGATTTATCCCAGAAAAAACCTTGAGCTTATCGATTTAAAGAAGTATATTAAAAGAATACGTTTAAATCTTCAAATTGCAAAACCATGTTTTCTCCTAAAAAAAATCATGGTTATTTAATGTTAGATGCGACTTAAACTGCTGTTCCAAACTGTCTGCTAAAACGGAAGTGAGTTTACCACGAGGAGACAGTTTGGAGTCTACTATTCCTGCCAGCATTATCAATGGAACAGCTGTTTCTAAAACTTTTCAGATTCTCTACAGGAAAAAATAGAATTTTTATAAACAACAATTTACAGGGGTAGGTCATGTTTTGACCCAAACAAGAGAAAAGATTATGAAAAATGTGAAAACATCATTGATTTGCTTTATGAATAAAAATGTTGACTTTTTTTAAGTAAAAAGTTGTAATTTGGAATATATTTTTAAAAAATGATTTTTTTGTTGTGTTAAATTTGTCTCAGATGTTTTATTAAACTTCGGGATCCTTCAAATTTACTTTCCTATTTTTGATAAAGAAATGAAGAGATTGTTCTAAAAGATGTAATCCATTATAGGGTTCATGTTCTCCTAGATAGTGCTAAGATACAGGTATGTTGACGAGGGAAGGGCAATATCTATATAATAAAGCTCTTAGCTCATATATATATCTATATATAAATTTGGCTTGTCTGTCTGTTTGTCTGTCTGTCTGTCTGTTTGTATCCAATAAACGTCAAAACGGCTGAACCGATCGGGCCCAAATTTTTTGTGGGACATCTAGGGACCCCAGGGAAGGTTTATGAATGATTGAAATTTTAAATATTTGTCTCCATCAAAATTCGATCTTCATTAAATTTTTGAAAATTTTGAAAATCCACGAAATTTTTTGTGAAAATCCGCGAATTATTTTTGTTTTGTTTTACGATGTACACAAAGAGAACATGTTCACAACTAATTTAGAGGATGGCTAGCATATATATATTTACATATATTTATGTGTTAGCTATAGGTGGTCATATGGCTGTACCGAATGGGCTGAAATTTGTCGTGTTTTTAAAAATTCCACGGACATTCATCAGAGAGTATTATATGATTTTCTTCTTCCTCAAAGTAATTTTTCCTCAGATCTAAGGGTAGTTCAGCTGCACATTGGGGTTTAAAATAGATACCTCTTAAAAGCTTATGAGCTAAAAAAGATGACCCATAATGAAACTACATGATACAAGAGCGCCGGTCAGAATGCTGTAATGTTTATTTTAACCCCAGAAATGAATTCTCGGTGCCCAATTACTTATAAATCGACATACAACAGGTAAAATCTGTGCTAAGATGACCCATGATGTAACTGTGGGCAACTAGCGCGCCGGTCAGAATGCTCCAATATTTATGTTGACCACAGAAAAGAATTCATCATGCCCAATTATCTATAAATCGAAATACTAGATGTAAAATCTGAGCTAAGTTGACCCATAATGTAACTTCCGGATACTAGCGCGCCGGTCAGAAGGCTCCAATGTCTATTTTGACTTGGAAATGAATTCCTTGTCCCAATTTCGCTATAGTTTGATGTATCTCATGCTACTTTTATTCTGACTTAGGCCAAACTTAGCAAATAAGTATTCAAAGATATTTTCTTATATTGCGCGCGCGCGCGGACATTTAAGGCTTTGGAGGTGAATTTTTTGAGCGCTTATTTTTTCAAGAGTATCAGGATAAATGTTTAAGTTCAATTAATGAAGTTAAGATTGATTTACTGTCAAAAAGCGCACTTTTTATCTGATCCGTTCAAAACCAAAAAATGCATGTAATATACATAATTTAAAGATATGTTTATACACTGTTTAAATTTCCCGGAGAGTAATACGTNAGGCAAAAGGGAGACTTTAAACTCTGCGGATTTTGAGCTTGAGGTTGGACTGTGGTTCTCCGAGTCCGGGTTTGGTATGGAACAGATAGATACCTTGGAGTGTGTCTCCAGTAGAAATCTGAAACTGGAGTTTCTTTCAAGTAAGATTAAACAAAATAGGGAACGCCCTTTTTTAATAATGGAAACATCAATTAAAATCCAATTAAATTGTACCTTGAATTTAGGGTCATTTTTTTACTTAATCCTTGCTTTTTCAGGCCAAGGAATCCATTACTGTGTTCCTGTTCTTTTTGATTACTTTCATCTAGCTGCTGTTAGCATTACAGTACATGGGGTACTCGTGTCTATACATCAACCATACCTTTCCTCCCCTAGGTAGGTTATACAGTACATCGTATATTCTAGATAGGTTATACAGTAAACTGTGTTACTGTGGATTCTAAGTAGGTTGTACGGTAAAGTGTATCTACTCTAGGTAGGTTGTACAGTACACGGTGTAACTGTACTCTACAGCACGCTTCATGTTGAAAGTTGTAAATTTAAAATTAGGTGATGGTGATGGACCAAACCTCTGTAGAGTAAAAAAGTAGATGTTAGTTCCACATCTATTGAAAATATATTTCGGTCTGGGTTGACCCTCGTCAGTTCTAACGATATAATAACCATCAAAATCGATAAAAAAAATATTAAAAAATCACAAGAAATTAAACAAACAAAAAAGATTTCAAAATAAAAATTGGGGCTGTCAAATGGACATAAGTGAAACGAACTCAGATTATCAGATGGAAAAAAGATTCACTTTAAAAAAAACGTTTTAAGACAATTATTATTCCTTGAGATTGTTTCTGTCACAAAGTTGTAAAACTACAATGTTGTTTAGACCTGGCAATAAACGTGGAATGGGTAAAAGCCCTGCTTCTAATTTCTCGACAATGGAAACCGTCCTGTTTGGGCAGAACCAGCTTAATGTTAAGTATGGAACTATGAGAACAAGGCTAGCCATAGCCTCAGCAATATATCAGGTAAACCGTCAGAGCCGGAAATTAAAAAAAATATCTTTGAAAGTTTCAACTTGAAATAATAATCACAAAATAGCCCTAGTCCTGCCATTTCCATAATGTGGTCTGCTATTTTTATGATTTCGTTCTGGATGAGACATTTTATGATTTTATTTTAAAAATTGAAATTAAAACCAATTTCTTAATATCTCGGGTATTTTTAGAACTCAATTTAGGAAATTGCAGGATTAGGGATATATAATTTGTGATTATTGTTCAATACAAAAAAATATTGCTAAAATCAAGTTACCTTAAATGGATGCCGCAAACCTTTTCTAATGTAAAAGACGACTTTGAAGTTATCAACACGTTTATATTATTCCGGGTTATTTAAAACATCATTGTACTAAACCTATATATATATATATATATTTATATATATATTCCAGGAAGTATGTCTGCTCCTGCTCCAGTCCCTGGAGGGTTTACAGATATCCCTGGAGCATCTATCACACTGTTTACCAGATCTAGCTAAACCTCAAGTCAAGTTGGTCGATGTACGGGATAGGGTTAAGAAACTTTCCAAGGTAGGGTCTTACTTACAGTATATTAAGAGGGTGACATTTTTCCTAATCTATTTTTCAGAAATAATTTGTGTTTTATTGGAATTCTAGGAATGTTTTAAATGTTGCATTTTTCTCAAAAATCGAAAATAGTATCCTCATATGGGGTATAATGGAAAAGAAATTGAAATTATTAATAAAAGTATAGATATGGAAGGAATTGAAATGCGAGGCTGGATATAAATTTCTTGAACTGAACTGAACACAAAGAATATTTGCCGTCAAACAGTAAATTACTGGTTCTTATAAAGAATACTAATCTTAAAGAGACTATTCATTAACCCTTCATTTTTGAAGTGGCATTTTTGATTTCCAACATAACCCTTTAATTCTTGATCAGAGTATAAATCCGCATTTCACTTCTATGGAAAATCTCGATTTCAAATATCAATTATTAGATAGAAAACTGGAATATATCAATGATCCTTAACAAGACATAAACATTTTTACTATATAACTGGATTTTGCGATAAAAAATTCAATTTTTGCAAATTTGCAAATTTTTTTGCAGATTCTTAAAGTAGAGCACAAGAGCTTTCCAATGATGTATCATTTGTCATATTTGGACATCAAACATGGGATTTAGAGGGGGGGGGTCAAATTGACCCCCCCCCCAGCATATCCTGGTTTTCAAGTACCCCAGCAGAGATAGGGTTAAATAGATAGTTACTTAAAATGTTGTCTATTGTCATTTTTCTTCTTCAAAACTCGATTTTAAAAAATTCCACGGACAATGCCGGGCACTTTAGTTAGCTTACTAATATTCTAATTTTGTGTCTGACCCTGTTGCTAGGTAGCCGAGGGTCTGGATAATGAAGATGATTTTTTACTGAAGGCTAACAGTGATATCTCCCAACTGTGTGCTGAGAATATTCTACTCTGGAACAAATATCTAGGCAAACACGGGGTTCATTGTAAACATGTACTTTACACTAGATAACACAGAGCCAAAAACTTAAGACAGAGTATCGTTATTAAACCAGTTTTGGAACCTGGGTTTCACGAATGGGGTTAGGTAGTTTTGTGGATATCAATATTTTTATTATGAAATATTATTTTATTTGGTTTCTTCATATTCTCCATATTTTTTGAATCTCTTAAATCAAAATCTACACAAATGTTAAGACCCCAAAAAGGAAACTCGGGAGTTTCGTTCAACGATACTCTTTTAAATTTCGGGCTCAGGGTTCATTTGAAACATGTACTTTACGCTAGATAACACAGGGTTAATTATAAGCATGTACTGTACACTAGATAACACGTGGCACATTGTAAACATTTACTGTACACTAGATAACACGGGGTTAATTGTAAACATGTTCTGTCCACTAAAGTAACACAGGGTTCATTGTAGACATGTATGGTACACAATTAAACACAGGGTTTATTGTGAACATGTAATGTACACTAGTTATCACGGGGTTCAATGTATACATGTATTGAATACACAAGTTAATTTGAACATTACACTTGCACTCCGTCCAAATAATTAAATACAAAAATACTTCTTATTTCAAGGGTATTTATTTTCTTGAATTATGATTCAACCGCCCCCCCCCTCTTGAAATATCATTTACCCCTCTTTCTCAGGGTTATCTCTTAAATGGAGGAGATACATGATTTTAACGAGAAAAATTGAAGATCTCAGTCAAGTTTAACTTTTATCTGTTCTTTTTAAAAATTTATTCAAGAATCTTGTGTTTGCGTAGATACATTTACGCTACGTGATGGAGTGCGTCAACATCTTGCTGAGATTCATCACAATCATCGTCTACGAAGATTTTCCGAAGGATTTTTTACAATGCGTAATCCTAGAAAAGCTGTTCTATGCTGTCTTGACGCCAAACATCAGCATCATTTGACCGTCAGCGATGCTGTACGCAAATCTGAATATTTTCAGTCATTACCCAATCTTCAAATACACTGCAAAGTAAGTATTCGCTCTACGATTATATATACATGGCAATCATAGCCATCTCCTTATTAAAATGATAAAAATATAGAATTTAGACAACATTTGTCCTTTACTAATTTCCTAAACAATGTTGACGATTTAAAGTTTAAACAATAACATTAGTTGGCAATTGTAGCATTCTCTGAATTAAAATTAATAATTTAGAGTTAAGGAAATAGATGGTAATATTAGTATTCTCACAATTAAAATTAGAATCCTAGCATTCGCCTCCATAATTTTATTAATTTGGCTAAAATGTATCAATGATATATCACTGTCCCAATTTTATTGATAATTTAGAGATGAGGCAATATATTTTAATAATAAAATTCTCCTAATACTATTCACAATTTAGGCAATAGATGGTAATTATTGTGTTTTTCCATTAATATTGACAATTTAGACAATATATGATAATTATTGTGTTTTACCATCAATATTGCCAATTTAGGCAATAGATGGCAATCCTTGTATTTTCCCAACAATATTGACAATTTAGGCAATAGATGGTAATTATAACATTTTCCCAACAATATTGACAATTTAGGCAATAGATGATAATTATAACATTTTCCCAACAATATTGACAATTTTGGCAATAGATGGATAATTATAACATTTTCCCAACAATATTGACAATTTTGGCAATAGATGGTAATTATAACATTTTCCCAATAATATTGACAATTTAGGCAATAGATAGTAATCATAGCATTTTCCGAACAATATGGACAATTAAGGCAATAGATAGTAATCATAGCAGTTTCCTAACATTATTTACAATTTAGACAATATATGGTAATCATAGCATTTTCCCAACAATATTGACAATTTAGGCAATAGATAGTAATCATAGCATTTTCCCAACAATATTGACAATTTAAGCAATAGATAGTAATCATAGCAGTTTCCCAACATTATTGGCAATTTAGGCAAAAATGGCGACCATAGCATTGTCCTTATTTTGATGATAATTAAGATTCTAGGCAAAAGATGTCAATCATTGCATTCTCCTGATTGATATCATAATTTTGACAACAGATGTGTCAATCCTTTGAAATTGACAATTTAGGCAATAGATGGTAGTCCTGGCACCCTTCCAATAATATTCGAAGACACCTACACAGATGGAATTCCGAAACGGAATAGTTCTTTCGATAATGTTCATCTCTACGCAGGATGCTTGGTTGTACCCAACTATGGAGGTAGAACAATTGTTTTTATCAATTAATTTTTTTTATATTTGCAAAAACATTCATAATTAAATCTTTGACTTAACCTAAAAACAAAGTTTTTTTGATGAAAAAATTAGATTTTGCGCATGGAAAGCTATTATGATAGATATCGATCAAAGATGCGAATTAACTTGTTAAATTTTTGGATTGCGAAGATATATATTTAAAGATATGTTTGATCACTGATCAGCTTTCCAGAAAAACTTCAGCAGCCACTTCTTTGTTTTCTAATTTTGTTAGAAATTCAATGAAAATTAATTGTGCATGATGAGTACAATTAATGTTTTAATTTATGTTTAAATTAATGTTTAGGTGGTGATGAGTCTAATTTAATTGATGAAAAGATTAGTTATGATAAACCTTCTAACTTCTCTAAACTAGGTAACCAAATGTTATTTGTTTTGATTGATATTTAATCTTAAATTGGTCGTTTTTGAAACAAAACTTAATTCTTCAATATCTTTAATATCTTGAAAAATCTAAATGTTGTCGATTTAAATTTTTGTTAATTCGATGAACATTTGGTGAACTATCATGAATGGGTTTGACATTTAATTGATGATGAAATTATCTCCACACAAGTTTATGCTCTGTTCTGAAATTGCGGTATTCTATGAAAACTAAAATGAAACTTATTACAGCAACTGACCCTCAGACAAGCCTTGACCAGCTACACCACGACCTATCCCTGCTGGTCAACGCCAACAAGGATCGGCGATCTGAAAAATCCGATGAAAAATCTCGCCGTAAAAAAGTCTCTCTTCCCAGCAAACTCAGTCGGACAAAAACCTCCCGGGAAATGGGTTCCTGGGAATTTCAAGAAAAATACGCAATTCCGCGGAAAGCCTCGTTGGATTCCGTAAGTCCTGGCGGTCTTGGATTACAGACGGCCAGCGCCGATTCTCGATTCAACCTCCGCGATAAACTAAGAAGCAGTATTAAGTCTGAAAGAAGCTCTGAAGTGAATCGAAGCTTTGAGAAGCCGAGTAGTTCTTCAAAAAGCGGCTTCTCACATCTTGAATGTTGTTCCGAGGTTCCTTATAACCTAGAGGAGGAACCGGAGGAAACAGAGGGATCATTTACGCCTCCAACTGTACATCCAATTCCTCCAACTTCAGAGACAGATAAGGTGGAGTTTCTTTTTATTATTGTTACCATTTCATTATTAACCCAGGCCCACAAATAAGTTCCAATACTGAGATTTTACTAATTTGTATATACATTTGTTTGGGATATTCTGTTTTAGCTGATAAATCAATTATAATAATTGATAACGGTCTTTTTCTAGGATGAGGAGAGTTCTATATCTGAAAGAAGTGGATACATCTCCAACACAACCAGAACTTCGTCAGATATATCTGTCTCTAGTCCGGAACATCAGAAACAAGAGTCTCCGAGAACACAAGGACGCAGGCATAGGAACGGAGGGATAGATACAGGTTGTAATACTGCTTTCAGGAGAAGTGAAGGGGTGGGGGGTTAATTGCTTAAACTACTAACATATTCTAATTTCTACTTGTTTCTAAACCAAAAAGTTGAAGATCTGTTTTATTTAGAATTAATGGAGATGAACATAAGAGAAAAAACAAGAAGAGAAAATAAAGAAAGATTAGGATCTAAAATGGAAGCAAAAGAAAAAACAAAATCGGATGACTACGAGAGAAGAATTATCAACAAAGAAGGTGCAGGGAGAGAAGAAGATGGAAGAAGGAGAACTATTGGACCTGGAGATCAGAATTCAGAGAAGTATACAATTTTGAACCCAGAGAAGGAGAGGCGAGACTGTTTTGTTAGATTAAAATCAGATTTCGGGAAGGATAAAATAGATCAGGGAGCACGGAAGGATGGCGTTGGAACGAGTAGGTTGAGAAAATATCTCCAGGAGGAGGGTTCAGGTTCTCCGGGTTTGGGTTCTCCGGGTCTAGTCCTAGGTAGGACGGAAAGATCTAGGAGTGAGGAGGTGGAGAAGGAGGAGGGAGATACAAGGAGACCACGTCATAGGTAAAAACATTTTAAGAAGAGACCAGGGCTAGAGTGGGATGGCAAGCCGCTCCCTTATAGCCTCCATCCTGCAATTTACTAATACACATACACTTGCGGCAACGCGCTCCTTAGCCGAACCCATATATCTTCTGGCAAATTGTCTTGCAATTTTCTCCTAAAATGTAATATTTTGTACATGTCAGCTGGTGTCATTATTCTCTTAAAAGGTTTTTAAAGGAAGAGAGAAATTCAATTTGTACCAGAAATAGCACAGTTTTTGTGCAATTCATATTAAAATTATATAAATCTATCTATCTATCTATCTAATTTAAAACGCGAAACTGTGTGTTTTTTTTGGTAAAGATTGAATTTCTTCTTACGAAAAACATTTTAGAGGAGATCAGCATCAGCAGACATGTACAAAATAATACATTTTAGGAGGAAATCGCAATAAATAAATAAAACAAAAATGTAATAATTATTGTCCCTTTGTGAGCAAGAATATTTACTTATATTTCAAAGAAAAACATGATTAATATGTTTAGGTTATAATATATAATATATAATATATATGCCATGACGTCTGTAAACTCTTAAATTAACGCTGCATTCCTCTTTAATAAGCATTCAAAAGTAAAGACATTTTGCTGGAAGAGATATGGGTGCGGCTAAGGAAGCGCTACAGGTGAGCGTGTTGCCTCACATGATTATATTTGTGAGTAAATTGTGGGATGGAGGCTCTACGGGTACGGCTTGCCTTCCCTCCTCTCAGGGTCGAGGAAAATTTAAAGATTTAATCTTACGTAACTTAAAGTTACCCCCATTAAAAAGGACTGAAATGTTCGATTCACGAATTTTTTATCTTTTATCTTAGTAAAAGCGAGAAGCAGAGTGTCTTTTTTATATTAGATATTGAAAATAGATCAATTCTGACATTTTCTATATCAGATGTTGAAAATAGATCAATTCTGACATTTTCTATATCAGATATTGAAAATAGATCAATTCTAAAATTTTCTATATCAGATACTGAAAATAGATTAAATCTGACATTTTCTAAATCAGATATTGAAAATAGATCAAATCTTACATTTTTAATATCAGATGTTGAAAATATATCAAATCTGGCATTTTCTATATCAGATATTGAAAATATATCAAATCTGACATTTTCTAAATCAGATATTGAAAATATATCAAATCTGACATTTTCTAAATCAAATATTGAAAATATATAAACTCTGACATTTTCTAAATCAGATATTATAAATAGATTAAATCTGAAATTTTCTAAATCAGATATTGAAAATAGATCAAATCTGACATTTTCTAAATCAAATATTGAAAATATATCAAATCTGACATTTTCTAAATCAAATATTGAAAATAGATTAAATCTGAAATTGTCTTTCTTTATCACAGCTGCATAAATCCTAAAGTTATTTTTAAAGAGAACCAGCAGTTTTCAGATTAAACCTTGATTTGTCCATAATTTTCTTTGAGGCAAAGATTTATAAACTATACCGTTGTGAATCAATTTCAAATATGTACATTGCAGATATTCCAGGAAGGGGCTTCGTCCATAGTCCTCAATTTTTCAATAACTTTGTTTAAATTATAAATGTTAAGGAGTGAATGTTTGAATGAGAAATCTGTCCGGAGTCCACAAAGTCCTGGTTCTCATAGTTTAAAGACGACCTCTACCGTCAGCTATTCTAACCAAGATAAGTCGGGATCATCTAAAGGGTCTAAAAGTACAAGTTTACCGCCTCCGATGGAATTCAGAGATCCTCCCCGAGCAACCAACCAGGTCAAAATTGATAAAATAGTGAAAGGGGGCTCGGTGTTACATCCAGTGCTCTGCATCCATTTTATTCATGCAGATCCGGATCCTGGATCCGCCATTAAAAATAGATCCGGATCCTGGATCCGCCATTAAAAATAGAGCCGGATCCTGGATCAGCCCTTATGCTAAAACTTAAACCAGTAAGGAATTAGGAAATTTTTAATAATTTTGTATTTTCAACATTTGAGATTTGTGTTTTTAGAACAAAAGGTTTTTTTTTAACAGATCTTGGCTAGTATTTTTCCCTTCTTGGAACAGGGGTTTCACATATTCCTGATCCGGATCCTAAGCAGTGGTTGTAATGTATATATTTTGCAAAACATCAACCAAAACATGGCTGCAGCCGAACCAAGTTTGGCATGTTTTCAGATTTTCCTGCTTCTTTATGCACTTTAATGACTCTAGTGACCTGGAGTGAACTATGTAATATATTGTATAACATTGATGGTCTTAATTTAATTAAATTATCCTTAATGGATTAATATATCAGATATTGTACTGCACTTAGGTTTTTTTACATTTAACGACTTATTGTAAACCTTATTTTGACACAGGGCACTTTCCAGTTTTATGTTTTCAAAATGCTTTTTTTCTGCACACACATCTGTGACTGACCGTAAATGTACTTTATCCCGGATCCGGATCCCTTTTTTTCAGGGCGGATCCATTATCCGGATCCGCATCAAAATGAAATGTATTCTAAACAGTAAACACACTGCTTTACAGAAGTTTTTGGAATATAGATTTTTTGTTTAGGGTCGAGAAGAAAGGTTGTTGAGCTGGGACGCATCCAGTCCAAGGATAGAAGAGAGTAAACTAAACGATCCAATCATACTAAGCTTTGTCAAACCAGAGGACAGACACACACACTCAATAGACAAACATGACACGTGCCATAAACTTAAAAACGAAAATAAACAATTGTTGGAGGGAAAATCAAGATCTAAACATGAGAAGTCAAGTGTAAAAAGTGAAAGATCAAGTAAAAAAGATGATAAATCAAGACTAAACCAAGATAAATCAAGGTTGCAAGATGAAGGGATGACGCAGAATAACAAGGATGGAATGATGAATGATAAACTGTACGCCAGCTTGACTAGGATGAGTCGAAGTAACACAATCTCGTATATTGCGGAGGATAACGTTACCATGGATGAGTTTAGGTAAAAGATCTGGGAACTTGTAACCATTACACGGTATATTTATATTTTCTTGCACTTCCTAACATTAGCGTTGATTGTAAACTGGTTTTAAACAAAAAGTTATATATCTTTTCTATTATAATAACTTCACAAAGGTTTAATTTATCTTTAAACAATTTCGTAGGTGTTTGTAATATAAGTCACCTTTGATTTAAAACATCAACTAATTGATTGAGTGAAAATAAATTGTGCCTCGGCATTGTTGGAAACCAGCTAGTGGTATTCTACTGCTTATTCAAAAACGTATAATTTGTTTAACACTAGTTTACAATCAACGCTTATTTTTATTCAAAAACGTATAACTCGTTTAACACTAGTTTACAACCAACGCTTATGCTTATTTAAAAACGTATAGTTTGTTTGAAACTAGTTTAAAATCCACGCTAATGTTTATTCAAACACGTATAATTTGTTTGAAAATAGTTTACAATCAACGCTTATGTTTATTCAAACACGTATAATTTGTTTGAAAATAGTTTAAAATCAACGCTAATGTTTATTCAAACACGTATAATTTGTTTGAAAATAGTTTACAATCAACGCTTATGTTTATTTAAAAACGTATAACTCGTTTAACACTAGTTTACAATCAACGCTTATGCTTATTTTAAAACGTATAGTTTGTTTGAAACTAGTTTAAAATCCACGCTAATGTTTATTTAAAGACGTATAATTTGTTTGAAACCAGTTTACAATCAACGCTAATGTTTACTTAAAAACGTATAATTTGTTTAAAACCAGTTTACAATCAACGCGTATGTTTATTCAAAAACCTATTTAGATTAGGGTTACATTTTGCGAAATAAAGATATAAATATTATTTTTTTAACCGTTTTTAATCAAGTACTTCACTTCTAATGTTTTTGCTTTATTTTCAATTTTTTTAAAATGAATTTTTGAGGAAAATTATTTTATCCTTGATCATTTTACAACCCCTAGGCTCTTGTTATTTTAGCCCAATCGGTTCAGCCGTTTAAAGTTTATTTGATTCAAACCATCAGTTTCGGCAAAAAGATTTGTTTTACAGACGGAGAAAATTAAACGTTGAAAAACCTCTGACTGATGTAAGAAGAAGAAAACAGAATAGTTCAGGTTATTTATTTAAATTTATTGTTAAACAATATAGATTTTTAAATTTCTAATGTTTCTTTCATCAGGGTCTTTTTTTTTTGGGGGGGGGGATGTTAAATAAAACCAGGTGCAAAATTAAACTCAAAATTATTCTTGTGAACAGATTCCACATTTTTTTATCCACTGAATTTACGAAGATTCGAAATAATTGATAATTCTAGACAAAAATTTGCGGCGATGCATTTTCAAAAAATTTTATTAAAGCCTTTTTCATATTATTTTCAGGAGATTTGTATCGCCTTTTTTATTAAGTATTAGTTTCGCTTAAGTCAACTTTATCAACGAAGATGTTTAAACCAAGCTAAGAATATTTCTGGAGTCCTAATAAAAATTAGTGGCAAATCGGTCAAGGAGTTCATGAGTTATGATCGGACATATGAATTAATAACAAACAAACTAGAGATGACGAGTTTACGTATTTAAATAGATGACGGTATGGAGAATTAATTTAAGTTAAAAAAAATATATTTTTTTATGTTTTTTATGAATAATTTTTTTCAGCAGCGAAATTGTCTTCTCGTTTATCCAGCAGCCTGCAGTTTATTGACCGGCATGCAGTAGACGCATTACACATCTCAAACCAGAACTCAGAGGAACGGATAAAAAAACTTTTGGTTCCTTCCTGCATTTTTTATTAATATATAATCATCTCCTTTTCAATTTAATGGCCCCCTCAGCAGTGCTTAGGATCACTTTAATTTTGATGCGGATCCGGATCCTGGATCCTGGATCTGCACTGGAAAAAATGGATCCGGATCCAGGTTATTTCTTTAAAATTTACTGAATTTTTTTAACAAAGCAGAATTTTCAAACTTTTTGTCTTATTTTTTTCGCTTATTTTTACGCAAAACTTTATAAAGCATTTAGAAATCAGGAAATTTTCATAATCTCTCTTTTTCAATGGTTCAAATTTGGGTTTTGGAGTAAACATTTTGTTTTGCAGTTTTTGGCTGATATTTTGCTCCTTGGATCCGGATCCTGGGAGCCGCATATTTTTGCGGATCCGGATCCAGGAAGCTAAAATCTTTCGGATCCAACGGATCCGGATCCTAAGCACTGCCCCTCAGTCGTGCAGCAAATTCGTAAGGTTATATTTGAAAATTTTCAGGTTTGCAGAATTCCTGATTTTGATATCATTCCACATATTATTATTGATACATTTTGCAGTAAAAACTTTCGCCGCAAAGTAGTGACTATTTATGTGATTTTTCGGATTTGAGCCCCCCCCCCTTCGTTCCTGTTACCCCAACCAACATATTTCCCAGATTTTCTGGGACACAAAACAAAAGTTTTATGTTAGAAAAAAAAAGGTAAAAACCTCGCAAAAGTTTTAATTTATTTTATGTAAAAGTTAGTTTTCCCAATATTTTTCACTATGTAAAAATCTGAATTAAATAAAAAATCTTCACATTTTAACAAAAATGTTTAGAAGTAAAACAACGCTATTAAGATTCTTCCAAGGCAATATTCTAGCAGAGCAGTATTTTTACCGTTTGAGTGTTCAGGGAGATATGCTGGAACAAAAATCTGTCCGAAGTCGGCAAAAAGTTTTCGCTCTAGGCAACTTAATTAATCTCTTTTTTGTTAAATTAATATTTTGAATTCAACATTGTGCTTTATTGAATTTATTTTTTAACTTGATCTTTTTAACTAAACTAATGAAACGTTTCATATTTTTGTTAACAATTCATTGATTGATTGATTAATTCATTGTTGCCAATTAGTTACCCGGTTAAACAATAGATTGTTTTGTTTGTTACTAATTAGGTGGTCTATTGATTGATTAATTGAGTAGTTTGAAACTTATTTTTATGCGCATGATTGATTGTTTGTTTGTTTTGGTGCTAATTAGTTACCAGGTTAATTTGTTGGTCGATTGATTGATATATTGGTGAAATATCGATAGAACTAATGATTTATTGAACTAACGTTCAGTTGTACCATCGTTCATTTGGACTAACGTTCAAAAGGAATATAGTCCTTATGAACAAATATTCGTTCAATTGAACTAATATTTTTTATTTTTTATTTTATATTTACTTTTTTATTAATCCCGTCTAGAATTGGGACATTTGATTTTTGGTCAAAAAGTATCTTCATTCTTATTATTCGATTTCATTAGCTAAATTTTTTACTCCACTGAACCAATATTAAAATGAATGAAAAAAAAAAGTTTATTTGGACTAATAATAATAATAGTTCAAATGAACAAAATGTAGAACAAATTAAAATTTTCATCATTGTGCCACAATTCCAAATTAGTTCAAACGAACATACTTTAGAACAAATGAACAAAAAAATGTTCATTTGAACAAAAGTTAAATTCATCATTTTGCCACAAGTTCCAAATTGGTTCAAAAGAACAATTTTTCTGTCGAAAATGTTCATTAGGACTGACGTTCAATAGCACTAAATTTTTCAAGAGAATATTTAGCCCATTTGAACAATTTTTCTCTGGAAAATGTTCATTAGAACTAACGTTCAATAGAATTGAAATTTCACAGAAAATATTTAGTCCATTTGAACAATTTTTCTGTGGAAGATACAGCATCGATTTATTGGTTTGCTATTAATAAGATTTATTGTTTTGGAATTAATTTGTAATATTGTTCTATTGATAATTGCGATCAAGTAATATGTTTTCATACTTATCAATTGTTTTCTTATTGAATTGATGTTAGTGATTGAATGATTAATCGAATATTTTCTGAATTAAAATTGGTTTTTGAATTGAATTGATTGATTGATTGATTGCAGAGTCCTCTAACCTTGGTTTTACCTGTTGTGACTGGATACCTAATCATATCTCTTTACAAAACCCTGCTCTCCTTAAGAAAATAGAATACGTCATAGGAATTTATTCATATTAAAATGTTCCATGTTCTTAAAATTATAATTTAGAATATTTTAGCTTTATTTCCCTAAAAAGGCGAAAAAATTAAGATTTTGGAAAAGAATATCAAAATAACGATTTTTTTAAATTTTCATAGATTTTCATGAAAGCTTCAAAAATAAAATGTTGATTAAAAGATGTTTTGAAAACTGCTTTTTAAGTGCGTAGGGTTTGGATCCGGATCCTAGTTGCAAAAAATCAATTTGTCCGCTTAAAATACAAATCTCAACCAACGAAAGATTATTAAAAGCTTCCTATTCTCTGACATGGTTTCATCAAGGTTCAGCAACACAAATAAGCGAACAAAGAGAAAGGGGAAAATGTTTTTAAAGTTTTGGTTACTCAAACATTTGTTTTTGAAGAAAATATCTTTCCGGTCCGATCTTGATTCAGATTTCACGGAATTTGCATCTTTATTTTTTTTGTCAAGTATGAATATTTTGAACAGGAGGAGCGCGGATAAAGTTTGTGAGCGCGCGGGAGAACTTCAAGCGCATGACAGGGTTTCCGGGGGCGCTCTACAGTGATTTCCAATTTAGGTAATACAATTTGCATGGAATTGGATTCAAGCATTTTAAATGTTAAATTAAATTTTTGAATATTCCTTAAATTATCTTATTTTTTTATGGTCTTCAGCTGCAAGTTCCCTAGAAATTCTAAATATTCTGAAGAGGGAGGGGTAGATGGGAAAACAGATATAGAAGCTCCGGTGTCGACCAGGAAACGGCGGTTAAATAGTAAAATAATTGAATCTTAAACACATGATTTAATATCAGCTGATCTGGAAACTCCTCCTTGGATTTCTCTAGAATTATTCAGGAAGACGATATTCATATCCGCCACAGGCCAGAGAAATAGCCGAGTCATCGCTTAGAATTCCACCGCAAAGGTACAATACCTTTGCAAAGACACTTTTTAAGCGTTTCTTTCAGTAACCACAGCCCAATAAAATCAAAATTATCATATTTCAATGACATCATATGTCAGTCTAAATATAATAAAATATAAAAACTTTTGACTTTATAATTAACCAGAAATTAGCGTTTTCTTGGTTAAACATGATTTAACATGTTTATACAAAGACGATCTTCTCTCTCCATCAAACCGGTTCCTAGAGTTCAACTCGGGGATTTCAAACAAACAAGCAGCAGAGATTACTATTTTATATACGTAGAAATTGATGCTATATAGAAAGAATGGGCAATTAGAGTGGTGGAAGTAGGAAAACGTATCAATCCGTCAAATTATTCTTAATCAATGACTAAGACGAAAAGCATTAAATAATGAAAATGCAAAGGTACCGTTCATTTGCGCTGGAATTCGGCTTTTTCTCCGGCCACAGTTGTCTTTGAAAAGCAAATGCCATTGAATAGCTAGTAGACTATTTAGTTTACCTTTAACGGTCCCTTTAAATCAAAACTATAAGTTTCTAAAAAATGTAAGCCCCCCCCTGGATATATATTCGTGAATACGCCCCTGGTTTGAGGTGAGTGCGTTACCTTTGCTTTTTCTCAATTTGGTTTTTAGGTATTCCACACCATACTTCACCCAGAGTACAGAAATTGTACATAATACTTCACATCTGGTTGTTTGTGTACATGGACTTGATGGTAACTCAGGTATGCTATACAGAATACACTGTACAAAACTGAATGCTTTACGTCAGTAACATACATACAACCAATATTTCAGAACGATAGGGATGTTTATTTTGAACTGTTTTTGTTGCTTTTTAATTTAATGAACAATGAATGACAATAAACGCTAACCGTATGAATTTAATATTCTAAGCTTTGAAAGTACTTTTTTTTAGGCTTTTTAATTAATAAATTTACAAAATATATAAATAAATTGTTGAGTAAAAAGTATTAAAAAGGTTAAGAAAAGGAATTAAGTCTTTGCCACACACTTAAATTTTCTGATCCCTTTATCTTTGCATCTCATATTGTAAACCTTTGATATTTGAAGCTTAGATTCATTTATCAAGTTTGTTCAAAATCTTTTAAATCATTATTTTTAAATACATAAATAATGGTCATTTTTGAACCCAGCTGACCTCAGATTGGTTAAAACCTACCTTGAGATTGCACTGCCCAGCGCTAACCTTGATTTCCTTATGTCAGAGATAAATCAGGCAGATACTTTTCTCAGGTAGGAGAATCTTCTAGGATGTATTGCCTTATTGATTGATTGCATTGTTGATTGATTGGTTGCATTGTTGATTGATTGCATTGTTAATTGATTGCATTGTTGATTGGTTTATTGCATTGTTAATGGGTTGCATTGTTGATTGATTGATTGCATTGTTGATTGATTGCATTGTTGATTGCTTGATTGCATTGTTGATTGGTTGCATTGTTAATTGATTGATTGCATTGTTGATTGATTGTTTGCATTGTTGATTGGTTGCATTGTTGATTGATTGGCTTCTTTGTTGATTGATTGGTTGCATTGTTGATTGATTGCATTGTTGATTGATTGGTTGAATTGTTGATTGATTGGCTGCTTTGTTGATTTATTGGTTGCATTGTTGATTGAGTGGCTGCTTTGTTGATTGATTGGTTGCATTGTTGATTGATTGATTGAATGATATATTGATTGATTCATATTGATTGATTGATTCATATTGATTGATTGGTTAAATGACTGTGATTGATTAATTGACAGTGATTCCTTACTGATTTTCTATTTAGTTTGGAGGATATGACGGATAAACTTGTTAATGAAATAAATTATCACATCAGGCATAACAAATATGATATCAGATTAAATTGGGGCAAATCATCAATATATGTTTTGGATGATAATAAATAATTCTTATGTTTAAAACTAAATAAAAGAGGAAAAATCAGTTTGATCAAATCAATTTTTCATTTTTTTTATCATCGAAAATTTGTATTTCTGGTTTATAGTTTAGTTCAAACAATTATTTGAGAAACATTTTCATAATTTGTTTGTTTGTCAGGAGTTTTAATAAAACTATCACAAGAATATCCTTCATAGGGCATTCTCTAGGTTGTATTCTCATTCGTTCTGCAATATCCAGGTACACAGTTTACAATTAAAACAACATTTTAATTTAGCAAAAATATCAGAATATCAAATGCCAAATGATCAAATGCCTAATTATGGAGTACAAATGCAGTACGTTTCAATTAGGTCTACAAGCTAGAAATGTAAACAAATCAGAGAAAAATCATAGCAACGGATTGTACTGCATTGTTCGTCTCAAAACCGGTAAAATGTCAACAACAAAGAAAAAACATAGAGGAGACGATAAGAGATAAGAGAAGAGGAGAGAAGAGATAAAAAGAAAAGATAAGAAAAAAGAGAAGAAAAGAAAGGAGAAGAGTAGAAAATAGAAGAGAAGAAAAAGAAGAAAAAATAGATTGCGTGAAAGAGAGAGCTTGCGCGCGTTTAACAGACTTTTTATCATAAAAATAGGTTAAAAATACCTTAAACTTTAAAATTAACTTTGTTGTAAAATTTTATGATATTTTTGAAAAAATAGTTGTCCCAACTGTTTAGCGTACATTTTTTTGATCATTTGGCATTTGATATTCTGATATTTTTGCTTTAATTTGTATTAAGTTCATTCAAAAATAATTTAAAAAAATACATATTAACATTTCAGTTGTGATTCTGTTTTTTTCAGACCAGAGCTTTCAGCACATTCTAGTAAATTCTACACTTTCCTCTCATTGTCAGGTTGGGACATTTTTTATTAACAATTCTTCCTCCCTACGAGGGTCAAGTTTTTGTAAACAATCCTGGAAAATTTAAAATTTAACCCAAAAACCTGGTTTTCTAAAAGAATATTTGTCAAGTTAAAAAATATTAGTTGTTTAACCTGTAACCCTATCTCTGCGGGGGTACTTGAAAACCAGGATATGCGGGGGGGGGGGTCAATTTTTCCCCCCCCCCCCTCTTAATCCCATGTTTGATGTCCAAATATGACAAATGATACATCATTGGAAAGCTCTTGTGCTCTACTTTTAGAATTTGCAAAAAAATTTGCAAATTTGCAAAAATTGAATTTCTTATCACAAAATCCAGTTATAAAGTAAAAATGTTTGCAAAAAAAATTTGTCCAAAAAATGAAAAATTATACATTTTTGAAAAGCCCTTGACCATGCCATTTCAAATATGCAAAAAATTTTGCAAAATTTTAAATAACCTGATTTTTAATCAAGAAAAACTAAACGTGTGCAAGTTTCCTTTGACAGTTTGTTTGAAAAAAACTTTGCAATTGTGCAATTCGTTTTCTTATGGTAAAGGCTTTCCAAAAAGCTAAATTTTATCAAAATCTGACAAGTGGAAGTGGGTAAAAACAAAGATTTAGTTTGTTACAGGAAAAAGCAGTCATTCAGACAGTAGTGTGCCTGAGGACTCAGGCAGTTAGTATTAAAGCCGGTTTTAGGCCTAAAGGGAGGGCTTTGGGTATGTAGGAATTTTCAACAGCCTCAGACCGATACTTTTTGAGTTATGTAAAAAAAACTACATGGGTGGGGGGTCAAATTGACCCTCCCCCCAGAAGGATAGGGTTAATTAATGAATTTTTGGAACTATAAGATGAAAAAACTGACAATTTTCAGAGGTTCGAGATGAATTTTTTTTTATTAATATCAACATTAAATAATATCTAGTTGTCTTTTGTAAAAGAATTTTTGGAACGAATATATTAAAACTGGAGAAATGAAAAATATTCAGCAGTATCAGTAAATCTTTAAAGAAATGTTCATGACCTGGATCTGCATCAAAATCAAATGGATCCTAAGCACTTCTAAAAACTCGGAACTCTTTCTAAATCTCCACTAATAACCTATTACAATAACTCTGAACTTTTTCAACATCCCCTTAGAGCTCTGTCACAATAACTCTGAACTATATCTATATCCTCCCCTAGAAACTCTACAAAAACTCTTCTAGGTCCACCCATAGGAATTCATCACAATAACTCTTGAACTGTGTCTTGCTCCCAACCTCTACTTGCGCCTAAAAACTTTAAAAAATCACTCTGATCCCCCCCCCCCCCTCCTCAAATAATAACATATTACAATAACTGAACTATTTCTAGGTCCCCACCTAGGAACTCTCTACAATAACTCTGGTTTGGTGAATGCTGGCCTCTGGATGATACAGAAATGGAAGAAAGCTGGTTCACTTCAGCAGCTCACTATGAAAGGAAAACAGATTTTTTTATCTTTACTTGAAAAGCCTAAACTTTCCTAAATTTTAACTCATTCAAATTCTTGTTCAGGATTTCATAATTCTTATTTCTTAGCTAAAAAAACAGATCTGTTAATTCTGAAATTTATGCCTTACATGTTTTTAAAAGGTTTCTGAATTTTTTAATGTTTAAGTTTGGCAACACCGGCAACAGTGCTTTGAATTTTTTTAAAAGTTCATCTGTTTTTAGATTCCGGAGATATTCGAGAGACATTTTTATATAAACTAGCGCAGAAATCCAATCTTCAACTATTTCAACATGTTCTTCTTGCAGGTGCAGTACATTGACAATGTTAAGTGTACAGTAAAATGTTAAGTGTACAGTGCACAGTACATTTACAATATTAAGTATGCAGTAAAATGTTTAGTGTACAGTGCACAGTATATTTACAATATTCAGTATACAGTAAATTGTTTAGTGTACAGTGCACAGTGCACAGTACATTTACAATTTTAAGTGTACAGTAAATTGTTTAGTGCACAGTGCACAGTATATTTACAATGTTAAGTGTTTAGTGTACAGTGCACAGTACAGAACAAAGTTTAGTGTACAGTGAACAGTGCACAGTACATTTACAATGTTAAGTGTACAGCAAAATGTTTAGTGTACAGTGCACAGTACAGAACAATCTTCACTGTTTACTGTTTAGTGTACAGTAAAATGTATTTTGTACAGTGTACAGTGTAATGTTAAGTATAAGTACACTGTTCAGCATAGTGTGCAGGACAGTGAAGTGATTTACGGTGATAAAATGTTTTTGTTTTATGAGTAATTGGCCCAATTCACTGCAGTGCCCAGACAAACCATCTCAAATGCTTCATGCTTCATATGTCTTCTCTGGTTTGCACATGCCATATTTCTTATGTTTAATGTCATATTTCTTATGTTTAATGCCATATTTCTTATTTTTAATGCCATATTTCTTATGTTTAATGTCATATTTCTTATGTTTAATGCCATATTTCTTATTTTTAATGCCATATTTCTTATGTTTAATGCCATATTTCTTATGTTTAATGTCATATTTCTTATGTTTAATGTCATATTTCTTATGTTTAATGCCATATTTCTTATTTTTAATGCTATATTTCTTATGTTTAATGTCAAATTTCTTGTCGTGTGTCGTATTTATCATATATTACGTTAACTGTTTAGGGTCTAGTCAGGACAAGTATGTTCCAAGTATATTACGTTAACTGTTTAGGGTCTAGTCAGGACAAGTATGTTCCAATCATATATTACGTTAGCTGTTTAGGGTCTAGTCAGGACAAGTATGTTCCAATCATATATTACGTTAACTGTTTAGGGTCTAGTCAGGACAAGTATGTTCCAATCATATATTACGTTAACTGTTTAGGGTCTAGTCAGGACAAGTATGTTCCGATCCATTCTGCCAGGATAGAATTATGTAAAGCATCAACAAAGGAAACTTTCTTCAGCCATATATTTATATTCCAGAATATTCATTTTTTGTATTTTCTTGTGTTTTCTTTTTTCTCTTCTTCTCTTTTTGTTCTTTTAATCTTTCAGATTCCAATGTCGTTAGTTTTCTTTGGTCGGTTTCCATTCTTGTCTTAAGTTTCATCTTTTTTTCTTTCCTATTTTCTTCTTAATTGAATCATCCAGAGGCCGAATTTAACGAATTTGAACTTTCTTTTATCTTTTTTTTAATTTGATTTTTTGTGTAATTTCGTTTTTAATAATCTTTTTTGTCCTTTTTTTCATACTTATTTCCATGCTCTTTATATTTCTCCTCTAATTAATTAAAATTCATCTTCCTTGGTTTTGGTCTTACCTTCTTTGTTTGTTTGTAAGGCCACATCCTTTTCTTGATGAACTAAATTCTGAGATATTGGAAGTGGGACATCTCTATCAATCTTGTTTTATTTCTCATATTTCTTTCCATCTTACTTCTTACTGTTCTGTATTGATCAGATATTTGAAGAAGGGTATGAATAGGACACTAGTGTATTGGGTACAGCGTACCGTGAGATGGTTCATAATATACTACTTCCAATTGTAAAAGCAGAAACTGAAATTGTCAGGTAATTTAATTACATCCTTTTATAATAGCGGTGTATAAATTCTTTCAATCTTTAAACCAGCTTTTTTTAGATCTTTGATTTTGGATATTTAAATTTTCATATTAAATCTGTACTAATGTTAAAACTCCTGTTTCTTTACATTTCTTAATTTTACCATTATTGTTTTTTTAAATCTTCATTCTGTTTTATCAAAAGCCATTAGGGAAGCCCTCATCATTTATTACACTTTGTAACTTGGTTGGTATATCGTAACTGAAAGGGGCTTCAACATGACTCAAATTTAGTCGTTTGCTGTATCCTTTTCAAAAATCGTTATAGCAATAGAAAAGGTTCGGGCTGAAAACTGGCATTGTTATTAAGGATTTTTAGTGCGTCCCAAAAAATTCGTCATTTTACAAAACAAAGAATCTTGATAAAAGTGGCCAGAAAAGCTTATGTTTTTAGTATTTAACATTTTTAAGTTATCTTCGCGTTATATATCGACGATGGATTATCATTTTATTTGTTTATTTTATATTTTATATTTTTGTGTGTTTCAGATATGATGTACATCACGCACTTCCCAACAACACAAATTCTTTAATTGGACGCGCAGCGCACATTGCTGTTCTGGATTCAGAACTCTTCATCGAGAAGTTTCTGGTGATCGCCGCACTCAAATACTTTCAGTAAACTTACTCAATTCAAATCATCGAAACATTTCTATTCATCGCGCAAATCCGCGAAAAAAAGAAAAAAAAGGTTTTCTATATATATACCATCAAATCAATTAATTAATCGAATTCCAATGATAAAAAGGTCTTCTTTCGAAGTATTTTTTCAATGGAAATTAAAAAAACCATTGCCAGTATTTTGGTTTGATTTAAATTGCACGCCATTTAAAATTGAAATCCAGCCAAAAAAAAACAAATAATGAATACGCCATATTCAAGACTCTCATTGTTGTTGTTGTGAACAGTCAATATTCAATATTTGTCATCATTTTTAAATGAACTTAGTTTCTATTTGTGATACTTATTTAGTCATGTAGTTTTAATACTAATATCATATTGTGATAAACGCGTCGCCATATAAACACTGTGTGCCATCCGGCTGTAACATGTAAGTTGTGAAAAGTTTTAAAGAATTTACAGGCAGAAATATTTTGAACATGTAGTTTATCATTTACATTTTTGGAGAAATCTTGATTTTTAATAAAAACGAATGTTTCTTCTTATAATCAATTATTATGTCTGCTAAAATATTGATTCAAAATTTCAAATAATTTTTAATTTTAACGAAGCTGAAAGGTTGTATTTCACTCACAATACAGTCTCATTCTCAGATAGATATAAAGTCGAAAATTCTTCTTTTTAAAGAATTTCAGATTTGCATTAAGAAGGTCTGTTGGTTTGAATCTCTTAATATAGACATTTTGAAACTGAAACCAGAATTTACATACTCCTTTAGGAATTTCAATTTTTGATTTTGTTTGTGGTTTTTACATTTTTTCATAATTTAAATAATTTGTATTTGTTTTTAAACGCTAGTATGAAGACTGCAACTTTAAATGTGTACAAACCCAATAAGCAACGGAATATTTATGAAAGAAATCAAATTAACGAAACTGATTGTTTGACCCATTCTTTATTCTTCTAAATCTTTACTTTTTTTTTGCAACCTGATGTCGTACACATTTAATATTTCGATTATTGTTAAAATTTTTAAACCTTCAGGTTGCAAAGATATAGGGATTCGCAAATCAAAGTTTGCGGCGAGCGCACTTCCTTTGTAACCCTACGTCCATATTGGAAACATTGTGTAATAATTGATTTATACTCAGTATTATTATTAACCCTTTTAGAAGTGGTAAAAAAAACTCACTAATCTATTAACAAAACGTAATTTTATCCTTTTAAACATGAATTTTGTACAGAGACTTAAATAAGTCTATGTCGATGTAAATTGTACAAAAAAACACTTTTGTAATTGTAAATCAGTGTATTGGTGATATTATTGTATATTTTTGTCAATGCATTTCTAGACAAAATAGTTTTCTGAAGCTTCTCTTTTGAGGTTGAAGTTGTTCAGAAAATGCTTTCTAAGATGGCAGGGGGGTATACTCTTTTCAAATTTAATTATTTTAAATAGAAAATGCGCCATTTTAGTTTAGAACACCTGAAATGTTGATATTGTTGAAAATATATACACCCCTTCTCTTGTGTTGCCATGAACATTTTAAGAAACCATCCTATAGAAGGATAAAAATGGATGAAAACGAGAATTGCGCTTGACTGAAGTTTTAAATGATTTTCCTGGACTAACCTTCTTTTGAAATTTAAAATTTTAAAAATGTTATTGAATCAACCTTAAATGGAATATGTAATATTAAGTATATACCAAAGTTTTAGAACTCGCATTTGAAGAAGGGTAGATCCCCCCCCCTGATCCTCTTTATCCTTCTAGGTTAACCAACACCCCTGCACAAGTAAACTTTCTAGTTTTATAACTATCTTCACATCCTTCATACTTTCAGATAAACCATGGGCAATGTGATCAAGAATTTGGATAGAAACAAGGGTATATATATCTTGTAATACACTTTTTTATGGAATCAGAAACGTTCAAATCTATTTTTAAAGCTTAGACTCGTCTGCCCGTTTGGTATAACATGACCCCATTGAAATTTTAAAATGATGCTCGTTTTTATAGGAAAATCCATGTTTTTGGTAGATCTTTTGCCAAAAATATGATTTTTAGGACTGAAAATAACATTTCTTTTGTTATTTAAACATTGTATATAATAATTATTGCATATAATAATGAACTCTTCGCTCATGGCTTACATTTTTTGAGAAACTAATGAGTGTGGGTGACATCAACTAAAGAAATATTTTTTTTAATTGGATTTTTAAAAATCAACGGTCACTTCAGCTAGTTACCATATGATATACAAAGTCGTCTGTTCATCATAAAAGATCGTAAGTTCAGTATTTAGTCAGCTTTCAAAAGGTTTAATCAATGTCTTTTGTCGTGTATGTATTAAATGTTAGAAATGATAACATTATTTCATTCGTAGCCAAACATGTTTTTTTTAATTGGTTGTAAATAAGATATACTCTAATATTAGAGTTGAAGAAGAAGAGTTAACAGTAACAAAAATAAAAAAATGTAAGATTGATTTTTATTTTTTATTTTTAAGATATTTAAAAAAAGTAATTTAAATTTTTTATGTAGTGACAAGAAGCTTTTGAAGATTTAAATATCAAGTAAACAGTAAAAGGTAACTTTTTAAAAATACCTACCTACCTAACAGTGCAGAACAAAGTTTAGTGTACAGTGAACAGTGCACAGTACATTGACAATGTTAAGTGTACAGTAAAATGTTAAGTGTACAGTGCACAGTACATTTACAATATTAAGTATGCAGTAAAATGTTTAGTGTACAGTGCACAGTATATTTACAATATTCAGTATACAGTAAATTGTTTAGTGTACAGTGCACAGTGCACAGTACATTTACAATTTTAAGTGTACAGTAAATTGTTTAGTGCACAGTGCACAGTATATTTACAATGTTAAGTGTTTAGTGTACAGTGCACAGTACAGAACAAAGTTTAGTGTACAGTGAACAGTGCACAGTACATTTACAATGTTAAGTGTACAGCAAAATGTTTAGTGTACAGTGCACAGTACAGAACAATCTTCACTGTTTACTGTTTAGTGTACAGTAAAATGTATTTTGTACAGTGTACAGTGTAATGTTAAGTATAAGTACACTGTTCAGCATAGTGTGCAGGACAGTGAAGTGATTTACGGTGATAAAATGTTTTTGTTTTATGAGTAATTGGCCCAATTCACTGCAGTGCCCAGACAAACCATCTCAAATGCTTCATGCTTCATATGTCTTCTCTGGTTTGCACATGCCATATTTCTTATGTTTAATGTCATCTGATCAAATCCTTTAAAAATTAATGAAACTCTACCAACCTACCTTACTATCTATCTACCTACCTACCTACCTACCTATCTTACTAGGCACTGACTTACCTTCTTACTTGCTTTCATACGAAACTACTTTTTACTTACCAACCTACCCACCCCACCGACGTGCCTACTCAACTTACTTAACTACCCACCTACTTAACTACCTACCCATCTAGATGACGAGTCGACGGTGGTTCCACCCCAACATCCACGGTGTAGAAGCTGAACATCTTCTCCTTGAACGAGGAGCTGATGGTAGTTTTCTAGCTCGACCTAGTAAAGGAAATCCGGGAGATTTTACACTCTCAGGTATAATTTTTGTAACGCCCCCACCCACCATTCTCATTTCTTAGGGAGGTGTATTTTGTACACCAAATCCGCGATACTACAGATCCGACCAACTAGCACGTGGTTTTACAGCTTCTATATCGACTTGTGGCCACAGCGCCCGGCCCCCTAGCCTGTCCTAGCCGCGGCGCTCGGCCCCTAGCCTGTCCTAGCCGCGGCGCTCGGCCCCCTAGCCTGTCCTAGACACAGCGCTCGGCCCAGAAATTGTCCTAACCTAATCCTAAACGAATACAAAAGTAAACACCTGGCGTAGGTCCGATATTGCTGTAGGTCGGAGAGTTAGTAGGTCAGAAGTTCAGTAGGGGGGATGTTGCGTATAGACGATGCAACATTACCTTTCCTAGATATAATTCATGTACACTGAACATCTTCCCCCCGCTTACTTTTTTGCTTTTAATTGGATTCATACTAGAGTTCACCCTTCTTTTTGCAATAAAAGAAACAAATGGAAATTATCAGATGATGTAATGATGTAACGCCTCCCCCCCCCTCTCCTTCCTTNTCTCTTAAAGTGCAACCCCCCTCACCTAGGTGATTACCTTACCACCCTCACCACACCACTCCTTTATGACTAGTTGAATATGTGTATGATAAAAAAAATTATTAAAAGTAGTATCTTGTTAATTTTTTTCCAAAATACTATTTTATTTTAGTTCGAAGGCATGGTGAGGTGACACATATAAAAATACAGAATACAGGAGACTTCTATGATCTATATGGAGGGGAAAAGTTCGCCACGCTCTCAGGGAAAAATTAAACAAACTAATGAAAAAATTTTATATCAAAGTAAAATTATAAACATTCTTTTTGGGAGAAAGTTTGAATTTTTATTTTGAATAGAGCTGGTTCAGTTCTACATGGAGAATAAGGGTCAGCTCAAGGAGAAGAACGGAGATGAGATCAGATTAATCTATCCTCTAAACTGTGCTGACCCAACCACTGAAAGGTGGTTTCACGGGCATCTGAGCGGCAGAGAGGCAGAAAAGGTAAACTTTTCTGGGGATTAAAGAATATGGAGGTTTATATTTTATTAAGTATATGTCTCTTTGGATTGGAGGAAATTTAGATTTTACTCATTATATGGATTTTTAAGGTTACTCATTAGATTGCTAGATCTCGATGCATGAAGTGGTTTATATTTTACTCACTAGATGTCTCTATGTGTTGATTGATGAACTAGTTATATTTTACTTACTAGATATCTCCAGATGTTGATGGATAACGTGGTTTAAAGTTAACTCACTAGATGTCTCCACATGTTGAATGATAACGTGGTTTAAAGTTAACTCACTAGATGTTTCTAGGTGTTCATTGATAAACTAGTTATATTTTACTTACTAGATGTCTCCAGATGTTAATGGATAACGTGGTTTATAGTTTACTCACTAGATGTCTCCACATGTTGATTGATAAACTAGTTATAGTTTACTTACTAGATATCTCCAGATGTTTATGAATAACGTGGTTTATAGTTAACTCACTAGATGTCTCTAGGTGTTGATTGATAAACTAGTTATATTTTACTTACTAGATAGCTCCAGATGTTGATGGATAAAGTGGTTTATAGTTAACTCACTAGATGTCTCCAGATGTTGATGGATAATGTGGTTTATAGTTTACTCACTAGATGTCTCTAGGTGTTGATGAATAACGTGGTTTATAGTTTACTCACTAGATGTCTCTAGGTGCTGATGGATAAAGGCCGCTATGGTTCCTTCCTAGTCCGAGAGTCCCAGGGACAACCAGGGAATTATGTTATTTGTGTAAGAGCTGAGGATAGAGTTACTCATGTCAGAATTAGGTAATATATATTATCCATATTTATATTAATATCTATAATCCATAGAGTAATAAAACAGAGAGGTAAAGCTTAGCTCAGATGTGAACAACCGACCTCCCCATTAATTAATTAATTAATTAATAGAGTGGTCGGTTGTGTACATCACGATATGTTTACGTATCTAACGCTGTACACTTGTATATAGAGTGATCGTATTTCTAAGGGGTGGTTTTATGTAGATATTTGAATTCTACAAATTTGAAAATTGTCAAATGTTTGCAGTCAACATCATCGTGTTCTCTTTAAATAAAGAAAGAAAAGCTGAAAATTGGTCAATTCCATAAAACCCCCCTTAGAAATACGATCACTCTATATACAAGTGTACAGCGTTAGATACGTAAACATATCGTAATGTACACAACCGACCACTCTATTAATTAATTAATAGGGAGGTCGGTTGTGTACATCTGAGCTAAGCTTTACCTCTTCGTTTTATTACTCTATGCTATAATCTATATTAATATCTTTTATCCATATACTTATAATTCAATATAATAAAATTATGTACCCCCCAACCCCAGCCCCTCAAAATTATATTTTGCCCCCCCCCCCACTCACAAAAGTGCTAGTTGCGCCACAGAATATTTATATTTGAGTTCATATTTTTATAATAGTTATGATCGTTAAAAGCCATCGAAAATTCTGGAAGAAAATTGAGAAATGTGACTAAATTAATCTATATTTTCCAATCAAAAACATCATATTTTGTATATATTTGACATAAAAAAGGTAGGGACAAGTGATCTCCAGGGATTAACAATACATCGGTTCCGACCAGCAAATGTGAAATATTTTCATAAATTGTAATAATATTAATATTTATATATATATAATGAGGAAGGAATATTGATAGAACTGTTGGAGATAAATATGATGTCAATGGCGGAGACCTTTTTGACAGCCTTACTGAACTTATAGAACATTACAAGGTAAATAAGAATATTTTATTTGAAAATACATTGGTTTCAGTATATATATATATATTTTGTTGAAAAGTTTTTTTTGTGTATTTTTCTCAAAAATTTTCAAAATTTCCATGCTTCGTTTGTTATAGTGTAAATCTATATATAAATTTGGCTTGTCTGTTTGTTTGTCTGTTTGTTTGTATCCAATAAACGTAAAAAACGTCAAAACGGCTGAACCGATCGGGCCCAAATTTTTTGTGGGACATCTAGGGACCCCAGGGAAGGTTTATGAATGATTGAAATTTTAAAAATTAAAATTTGTAATCGGTAATCTGTACCCCTTTGATTATATTTATGTATTCCCTTGTTTGTTTAGAAAAATCCCATGGTTGAAACGTCAGGAAGTGTACTGCATCTCAATCATCCGTACAACGCTACAAGAGTCAATGCTGGCAAGATTGATGTCAGGTTGGGGATTGCAGCTGGAAATCAAGATACATCTATTTTAATAGAAAATCACATGACCCCCTCCTCCCCCTTTTCCATTCCTCCTTCTGAAAATGGACTTTATCTCCTTGTCTTAACCTAAACTTACCTAGAATTACAATATCTCCTTGTCTTAACCTAAACTTACCTAGAATTACAATATCTTCTTGTTTTAATCCTAAACTTACCTAGAATTAAAATATCTCCTTGTCTTAACCTAAACTTACCTAGAATTGCAATATCTTCTTGTCTTAACCTAAACTTACCTAGAATTACAATATCTCCTTGTCTTAACCTAAAGTTACCTAGAATTACAATATCTACTTGTCTTAACCTAAACAACCTAGAATTACAATATCTCCTTGTCTTAACCTAAACAACCTAGACTTACAATATCTCCTTGTCTTAACCTAAAGATACCTAGAATTACAATATCTCCTTGTCTTAACCTAAAGAATCTAGAATTACAATATCTTCTTGTCTTAATCCTAAACTTACCTAGAATTACAATATCTCCTTGTCTTACCCTAAACTTACCTAGAATTACAATATCTTCTTGTCTTAACCTAAACTTACCTAGAATATCAATATCTCCTTGTCTTAACCTAAAGTTACCTAGAATTAAAATATCTCCTTGTCTCAACCTAAACTTACCTAGAATAACAATATCTACTTGTCTTAACCTAAACAACCTAGAATTACAATATCTTCTTGTCTTAACCTAAACTTACCTAGAATTACAATATCTTCTTGTCTTAACCTAAAGTTACCTAGAATTACAATATCTTCTTGTCTTCTATATATAAATTTGGCTTGTCTGTCTGTTTGTTTTTCTGTTTGTTTGTATCCAATAAACGTCAAAACAGCTGAACCGATCGGGCCCAAATTTTTTGTGGGACATCTAGGGACCCCAGGGAAGGTTTATGAATGATCAAAATTTCAAATATTTGTCTCCATTAAAATTCGATCTTCATTAAATTGTTGAAAATTTTGAAAATCCAAGAATTTTTTTGTGAAAATCCGCGAATTATTTTTGTTTTGTTTTACGATGTACACAAAGAGAACATGTTCACAATTAATTTAGAAGATGGGTGCGAAGCGCCCTATAAGGTTAGTAACCTAAACTTACCTAGAATTACAATATCTTCTTGTCTTAACCTAAACTTACCTAGAATTACAATATCTTCTTGTCTTAAGCTAAACTTACCTAGAATTACACAATTAGGAGAGGTTTTCCTGTTTGCATAAGGAGGGGGGGGGGGGGGGGGGGGGGGGGTATTCAGAAATTAAGATTCGGCGATTTCCTTTATAACATGTACCTCTCCTTCTCCTTTTGTTAACGGACAATATCTCTCTGTCTTACCCTAAATTACCTGACATGGGAGGTTTTCCTTTTTCAGAAGGAGGTGTGAGCTGGCATCTGGAAATTAAGATTCAAATTCCTTATTTTATTTGTGAGTTTTATATCATTATTCAGATATCGACTTATTTTCACTTTTTTGTTTAGCTTAGTTTGAGTATTCCGAATTCTGAGATTACATATTTCCAATTTTACATGTTCCGAATATTTTGGTGCAAGTTGCAACCCAACCTTTCTTAACAGGGTCGCTGAGTTGCAGAAGGAGAGCGGAAGCTCGAGCTTCGGTGGAGAGAAGGCGGGCTTCTGGGAGGAGTTTGAGAGCTTACAACAACAGGAATATACAACAATATATAGTTTAGTTTATCCGGGGGGGGGGAGGGGGTGATTATCTATTTGGTGGTTTTCTGAAAACTCTTGATTAATAGTCGTCTTCATCTTGTTGTTTTGATATTTCGGTAATTTCTAATGGTTTCAACTTAAACAATTTTGTTAAAGGGTCAGAGTACAATTTAGAAAAAAGGAATCCGGTATGAAACAGGCGATTTGGTCCACTGTTTTCTGGTTACTACTGGTTTTTGGGAAATTTCAATTAAGTCATTCATTTTTTTTTGAGCCCATCGTTTCCAACTTTGGAAAATCGGGTATTTTGGAAAATCAAAATGTCTCTTCTTAGAAAACTGGATCATTAACGACATTTGTACAAGAAAGTTGCTATATATGCGTAATTTGCGGGGGGCGGAAACTGCATGTATGTGTGTCTGTACCAACAGAGTGTGTGTAAGTAATAACGAACCGAAGGCATGAACTGTATGTACAAACAGTATTTAAGAATCTCGGTATTTGTAAAGTCTAGGAGAGTACGTTTGTTTATTGTTTATTTTATACTCAAAAATAAGTTTAATATTACATGTAATATATTATTATATATATTTAAGTCAACACTAAAAGCCAAATTTTCATGCAAAGAATATAATTTGATTAAAGTTTTCAATAAACTACTCGTTATTCAAGCTTAATTGTAATTGACAACATTGTTCTGCACCTTCCTTGACTGTAGTCATGTTGTGTGTCTGTACCAAAAGCTTGTGCGTGTGTAATAACGAACTCATCTGCAAGAAAGCGCGACTGGCTTTCTCATGCCAGACCAGCAACATTTCCATTCCCTTTATTCTTATACCCTGGTAATTTGGCACTGAAAACCATTAAACGACAACGACTGGTTTTTATGTTTGTCAAGTACAGTGAACTCTGTACATTGTTGTTTATATTAAGGAGTGTAAGCACATGTACAGTAGATTAGAAGGACAAAAACCTGAAAACAAAGCCAAGAATAGATACAAGAATATACTTCCCTTTGATAATACAAGAGTTATTCTCAGGTAAACTTATATACTGACAACACTGCCTAGAATCCATTTCATTTTATTTTGATTCGGATTTGGATCCTGGAATGGATCTGCTCTGAAAAAAATGGTTCAGTCATGAACATTTCATAAAGATTTATGATTTTTTTTAAGAAAAGAAGAACTTAAAATAACTCTTTTTCTTTGTTTGCTCAATTTTGGTGCTAAATCTTGATGAAGCATTTAGAGATAGGGCAAGTTCACTTGAAAGTTCATCTGAAGTCCCTGTAAAATCTAAAAAAGGAGATTTTACGGCCTATAGAGAGGACGTGAGTCAGACTCTAATAAAAATGCATGAATAACTTCCAGTATGTATATTTCTTATAACTTATTACTAGAGGGTTCAGAACTAGAGTCAATATTGATATCACACGTATAGATGTTTTTCAGTACTATGCCCAGTATCTGTTCTATCTCATCCTGTTGAATCTTGTGGAACTTGTTTAACGCGGCCAGGCATCGTCTTCCACAGGCCTGTTTTAAAGATCTTGGTGGCAAATTACAAGCACGAAAGACAGTATTAAATATGTATTTTGATGTTTTCAATCTAAATATGAATATTAATGATAATTTAAACAAATTTAATAAGATGCGTACTTTTAATGAACGATCTCTTGGGATTAACTTGAGGATGGATACCGATTTCATCTCTGGATCTCGGACTCTGGACTGTCGCCTCTGGACACTGGACGTTTGCCTCTGGACTCTTGACTTGTGTAGCCTCTTAGTGGACTACGGTCATGTATACTCAGGACTTTGGACGAGGGACTCTGGACTCGGGGTTTTGGACACTAGTCTCTCTGGGATATTTAACCCATCTATAGTGATGGTCGATACTTCCAGGAGAGANTAAGTACATGTTAACCTTCAATGTACCAGGGATGCTGATCCTACTGAAGTCCCTTTAGGTCAATATACAATGAAATCTATATTTAAGTACATGTTAACCTTCAATATACCAGGGATGCTGACCCTACTGAAGTCCCTTTAGGTCAATATACAATGAAATCTATATTTAATTACATGCTAACCTTCAATGTTCCAGGGATGGTGACCCTACTGAAGTCCCTTTAGGTCGATATAAAATCAAATCTATACATCAAGTTCATGTTAACCTTCAATGTTCCAGGGATGCTGACCCTACTGTGCCTGGAAGTGATTATATAAATGCTAATTATATCAAACAAGAAGAGGATGGTATTGCCAGACCACAGGGGTTCAAACAGTACATAGCAACCCAGGTTAGTGAACGCCATGGTAAATATTCAGGGGCTCATATAGTACAGCAACCCAGGTTAGTGTACATAGCAGCCTAGGTACATGTACAGGCCCTCACACAGTACAGCAACCTAGGTTAGTGTACATAGCAGCCTAGGTACATGTACAGACCCTCACACAGTACAGCAACCCAGGTTAGTGTACATAGCCGCCTAAGTACATGTACAGGGGTTCTATAAAAGAAGTTCATGTATTACGTGTTCAGGGTTGTTTACTAACAACACGGGGAGATCTCTGGAATATGATTTGGCAGGAAGGAACACTTCTTATTGTTATGACCACCAAGGAAATGGAGAGAGGTAACACTTACAATATATATCCCCCCCCCCACACCGCCCCATCTTCTTTTCAATGTTCTTTTTCTTTGAATTTGTCATGCAATTTTAATCTGTTTATTTACATTAAATGAAGTTTTCTTATCTAGAATCTACATGCACTTGTGGTATTTCCATAATTATACATTTCAACTGCTTATAAACTACTTTTTCTTAGAAAAAAATAATTACCAAAGAAAAGAAAAGGCAATATTTAGCAGGGAAAAAAATGAAAAGTTTTACATTTAAAGTTTTAATACTTTTTTAATCATGTGTTGAATCCCTGATTCAGTGATGAAACCATTGAACAAATATTTTAAAAGAGATTTTATTGTAAAAGAAATGTATAATTTAAAAAAAAATTAAAACCCTGGTAATTTAAATTATTAATGAAGTATGTTGTAGGGAAGGTTAAGTGTGCTAAATACTGGCCCGAGAAGGTAGATACTACTGAAACCTATGACGGAGTAACTGTAACTAACATCCTGGAGAAACAGAACAAAGATTACATACTCAGACAGTTCCTGGCTAAGAAAGGTTAGAGGGGGTTACGCGTCTAATAAAGCTCGATTCAATTTTCAGACTAGTGTGTGCGTTATTTCTTAGTTTTAGACTCTAGGCAACCGACTTTTCCACAGCAACCCTGTTCATTTTTTAAGATGTAAATTACTCCCAATCCCTCCTCCGCCCTTCTTTTTGCCTTTTTCTTCCCTTGCTATCCACTTTTTATGTTGACATTCAGAGAAATGAGCGCAAATATGCTGTGAAGGAATTTTCTTAACCTTATATCTTTGCAAGGTGATAGTGTAAACCTTTGCTATTTCAAACTTAGACTACTTGATCAAACAGAATTCATAACTTGAATTGTCAAAGGTCCACAACATCGGGTTGTATAGATATAGGGGTTAAAGAATTAGAGTTGTGGCAAAAACTCGCTTCCTTTCATTGCAATGACTCTTCCTCCAGTTTTTAACTGTTTTGAACCTGTTTTAGGACGCTGATCTGGAGATAATCCTAGTATTTACTCTGTTAAGTCCAGATCAAAACTGAAACTGGCTTTTATAATGGAAGCACTTCGTAATTTTCGGTGCTACGGAAACGCTTCAACACGGAAACGGACACCAAAAGTCCGAATTTTTTTATGCGTTTCCTAGCTTTCTCAAAAAATTCGGAACTCACTCAGATCTCATGTTTGAAAGTTGGTCATTATTGGAAAAATTTGCATAGGAAAATATGGCGATTTAAATTTTTTTTAATTCCATCAATTTAAACAGAAAATGGTGCGATTATAACTTTACATATATAGATTATTTTAGACGGTGAGGAGAGGAATATATTTCACTTTCATTTCCTTGGTTGGCCGGACCATGGGACTCCAGAAGATCCAGGATCCGTTCTTAACTTCCTGCACGATGTCAATCTCAAACAGGTTAAAAATAGAAATTCGGGGCTCTTTGCGCCTCTAGTCCCTTGTCTTTTGCAAATATAAAGTAACAGTAGACAATTAACTTCAGTTGACTTTTTTCATTTTAAGAGTTGTAGGCGTATACCCTTTGTCTAACTAATAATGAATGCGATATTCTTGTTTTAATAGATGAGTATTCTCAGTTGTGGTTTTAACGGAATGAAACAATATTCTCAACGAAAAGATGCACTCCATTAAAGACAGTTTATCATGCATGGACATTTCAATGAGAACAGTAGATGTGTTAGCTGGGATAATAAGTTGGTTACTTCGGATTTTAAAGGACTTCTGCTGTTGTTTAAAAAATATTTGGTAAATTAGGTAATATTTTGTTAAACTGAAGATTGAAGATTTAAACGTTAAGGAAAATCTTGAGAAAGCGGGACCTATTGTTGTTCATTGCTCAGCTGGAATTGGGAGAACAGGAACATTTATTGTCATTGATATGATCATTGGTAAGCTTTTTTATTCTCTCTAGTTGAGCTCTTTGTGGGTTATAAGGGTACTTTTTCACATTTTATTTAAGCACACTTGTTCTCTATAAAAACACATTGGATATAAATACAAATGCATTCGATTTTTAACTCATTATGTTTTCTTGATAACCCTTTGTACTTTTCGTGAACATTTCCTGAAATAAAATTTTTATTTTTATTTTTCATTAAATTGTATTTTGCTACTTTAACCAAACCAATTAAAATTTGATATCTTGCTGAGTTCCTTTTTGAAAATAACTTTGCAAATGCATATTTCCTAATTAAAATAAAAAAATGCTTCACGTTATCAAATTCCAAAAAAAAATGTAAAAATGAGATATCCTATCGAGTTATATTTTCATTAGTTAAGTTAATGCCTTTAAAGTGTCTAAAATCTAAATTAGAGATAAGAGATATTATTAACAAAGAATAAGAGAAATTAATTTTTCAAATGTTTTCTGTGTATAAAATACTTTGGTTGAATTGTATCGTTTTAGATCAGATTCAGAGATTGGTGGTGTTGTGAGTGTTACTTGCCGGTTTTCAGTGATTTTGCCAATAACTCGCTAAATTTAAAATAAGAATAATTAGTATCAAAATGTGTTTTTATGAGAAGAACTAAGCATTTAACTCCAAGGTTTTTGCAGAAAACATTAAAAACCACAAAGTACGATCACAAATACTGACATAATTACTAAATCAATTAGTTCTTAATCTCGAAATATGAGCAATGTATTTCTAACATATTTAGGAACTTAATCTATGAATTAAATGAAAATCAAACGATACTATTTATTCTTATTTTAACATAAGTGAGCTATTTATCTCCGCTGGTTTGGCAGAAATCACTGAAAACCGGCGAGTAACACTCACAAAACCGAGCATATCTTCTAAACCAATAATTTAACACAGCATGAAAATTTAAAACAGCATTTTCAACAGATAAAAGAGTAATTTGTGTGAATGTTAAAAAAACGAATTATATGATGTCTTTTTTTTGAGAAACAAGTTTTTATTTGAAAATATCAACCACCTAAAATTAATTTTATCCATTATTTTATGAAAAAATAAATAAAGCCTTTTTCATTACCTATTTAATGACGTTAAAATTAGGTTGATATCACAAATATCTCTGCAGAAAACAAATTTTAACTGATTTTCATCTTGTAATTCTGAATTGTGTGTATATATACGAAACAAAACACACCCGTACATTTGTACGGAGCATAAACAATTCTTACCGCAACTCTTGTTATTCAATGTACTGTATGGACGTAGCTATAAGTACAAAGCTCAATTCATATTTTCAATTTCAACTAAATTTCGAAGACGACATGAGCTCTATCTAGTCTAATTTAACTAGGATTGAAACTAATTACTATCCCCATTTTCCATTTCCAATTACACCAACAGAGGCCGAATTTAAAGATTCTAAGCCCCGGTTTAAATTTAAGCCGCGGCTCAAATTTTATTGGTTCCACTTAAAGTATTAAATTTTTCAAGATTTAAGCCGGCGCTCAATTGAAACCGGTTTTTGGGGAATTTTAGACGCGGCTTAAACTCGGACACAATTCGCGTTATAATCAATTTATTAGCATTGTTATTACTTAGATTAAAACTAAGGGGGATAAATCTGTTCAATATTAACCCTGGTTACACCACTAAAAAGTATTAGAATAAGGCTGTTTTAAACTTTTCCTACTAGGAGGAAAATATTCCCACAACCTCTACTTTTAAGAGGTTTTTTAAATATTTTCTCCTGAAACACTTTATTTAGTGTTTTTGCTATATTTCATAAATAAATAATTTTTTTACTTTTTTTACTAAACCATGCCCCTCACTTCAGGCTAAAAGTTAGACTTTCAATGTGCGAACGCCTTTTATACCTATGCTAAACTAAATCAGTTTTTAGATCCACTAACGATCTTTGAATTTTAATATTTCTCACTTTAGTTTTGTTGCCTTTGGCCTTGTTTTTCTGTATAGAGTAGAGGTGAGTAAAGAGCTAACTGGTGTGAACATTATGTTTGTGTACAGGTTGGCGGCTGAACAGAAATCTGTACTGCTTGGTCGAGAGTATACGAATATTAAATATGCTGCTGAATTCGGAAATATAGGTCAGATAGTGCATTTTATTCTTGCACTTTTAGTTTTAGTTTAGAAATAAAGATTGCAAGATAAAAATTACTCCAGCGAAACAAATATTTCTTTCTTACATCAGCAAAAAAATACTGAACGATATTAGTAATTATGAACTAACAAAGAAAACCATAGATCATCATTTTATCAGGGTGGTCGATTTTTCAATTCTATCAGAACATGTTAAATGTCTGGATGCACTGAAAACCATCAAATATTTTGAGAATTTGTTTAAATTACTTTATTTAAGGCCATGAACCTTGTTTTTTTTTTACTTTAGGATTTAAGTCATAAAACCAGTACACAACTAATAAAACCAGTACACAACTAATTGTCTTTAAACACATTATTTTCAAACTAAGATCTTCAGTATATCTCTTTCTTTCAATCTTATATTTATACTTAATAAACATAAAAAATCATTTGAAAAAAAATATTTCGAATTTTTTTCAGTCTATGACACGGCCACCCATGAGTGTCCAAAAAAATGTCATCCCAATCGGTCCAGCCGTTTGGCCGGCTATACGCAACAGATATATATGTATATATTAATGTCTTGTTTTATTATATAGATGGTGGATAAAGAGTAACAGAAAAGAATGAGACTAAAGAACGACCAAAAACTCATTAAATATGACGATCTCAAAGGGACTGTAAAGGAAAAATAAAAGGGGGAATAGTATGAAACGTGATAAATACGGAAATCACGTGACCAGTATACTGCACTGCCATTGGCTGAAGTTCTGGTGACGTAATACGGACTATACGGACTGCATAATAATACTATATAATCAAACAAGACATTCATATATATGTTGTCTATAGCTGGCCAAACGGCTGGACAGATTGGGCTGAAATTTTTTTGTGGACACTCATGGGTGGCCGTGTTACAGGCTAAAAAATTAGAAAATTTTTTTAAAAATATTTTGTTCAAATTTTTTTTCACGGGCAACGCAAGGCCATTTAGCTAGTATCTATCAAAAATGCAGAATAGAAAAAAATTTTAAGAAGAGCAAACCTGAGATTCACAGGATCCTGTGGGATATCGTCGTTTTCAGATTGATTGGTTGCGTATTTGTTGAATATGATTTGTTTAATACTACAACAATAATTAAAAATTGCACCAGATAGATGTTTTAAAGGTATCGTTCAACTCCTGAGATTCTCAGGTTTCAGTCTATACACCCTTTCATTTTTCCTTCACAGTCCCTTTATTGTTGAATTTGGTTTTCTCCCTTCAATATAGACAATTGATTAATTTTTTTATTCTATTTATTCGTACACAATTATAATGGTACAGTTTTAAATCCACGAGGAATGAGATATATAACATATAAAATACAGAATTAATATATAGTCGAAAACAATAAAAAAAAACTTAGTTAGTTTTTACATATATCGTCAACAATTACAGCTATTTCATCATAGAAATCCTTCTAAAACATTTTGATTTGACCGGATTAATAGTAAATCTTTTAACAGTTGAATTCTCCACACATTTTCAGCCCGATTCGCGTAAATCATGTTTGACTTTACTAGAGACTTGTTCAAGGACAGTTTATCTACATAGGTTTCATTTGCATTATTAGATAAATTCTTACATAATAAATGCAGGGATGCATTAACGTAAGAGAAAGGACTCATTAAATTACGTACAATTGTCTCTGAAGTCTCATCCTTGGGTAACTCTGTATCTATTGATTGCCAACTATCTATTGATTGCTGCATAATCTCTTTTTTCTGTCTGTATCTCTAAAGTTTATATTATTCTATAAATTATTTAGCTCACCAAATTGAGATCTCCATTCGGTCAATTTTGAGCCTGGCTTAATCGATCAAATAATCATTTATTCAGCTGACCCGTTGAGATCTCCATTCACCCGGTCAACTTTGAGCCTGGCTTCACTTTCACACTCTAAGAAATCATCCTTGGCAGGTAATACTTTATTACAGGCAGTGATAAGGAATAGGATCCGAGTCATTTTATGCAGATCCTGATTCATCTCATCCAGCTTTTTTAGATTTCTTTTTCACCAAAGAAAAAAATTTTATATTTTTTTCTTCTTTTTTTCAATACAGAAACTTGTGAGATCATTCAGCGATCAAGAAATTTTCAATGATCTTTCTTATTAGTTAACAGTTGAGATTTGTGCTTTTAAAGAAAAACAATCTTTATTCGAAACATATTTTTGCAGATCATAGGAAGCCAAAATCTTGCCCTTTCCTGTACTTCTCGGTACTTTCAAATTTAAAATAAATAATTATTTCGCGTAAAAATTATTTATTTTCCCTTATTCAGCAAATAAAATCTTTAAACATAAAATTCAAGAAATATAAACTCCTGGTGTATTTCATTCAACGGAAATTTTATCTCGTAGTTCTCAACAATGCATGGCGTCGGAAATATTATTTGTTCAAATTTCTAATAGAAAATATATTAAATATTGACTTTTCCTTCTTTTATTTTCTTTTTCTTTTCAATTATTAGAAATGGAGGAGGGGGGAGAGGCCAAAGCTTGAAAACCCCAATATTAATTCATCTGAGAAATTCAATGATTTGAACTCTTGATTAATTATTAATTTGAAAAATCCCGATAAATTTTGTAATTTAAAGAGACTACCTCCTTAATGTAAGAGACTACTTCCGTAATTTAAAGAGACTACCTCCTTAATTTAAAGTGACTACCTCCGCAATTTAAAGAGACTACCTCCCTAATTTAAAAAGACTACCTTATTAATTTAAGCAGACTTCCTCCGTAATTTAAAGAGACTACCTCTGTAATTTAAAGTATCTACCTCTGTAATTGAAAGTAACTACCTCTGTAATTTAAAGAGACTACCTTCTTAATTTAAAGAGCCTACTTCCGTAATTTAAAGAGACTACCTGCGCAGTTTAAAGAGACTACCTCCATAATTTAAAGAGACTACCCCCATAATTTAAAAAGAATACCTCCATTATTTAAAGTGACTACCTCCATAATTTAAAGATAATACCTCCGTAATTTAAACAAACCACCTCCGATATTTAAAGATACTACCTCCGTAATTTAAAGATACTACCTCCGTAATTTAAAGAGACTATCTGTGTAATTTAAAGAGACTATCTGCGCAATTTAAAAAGACTACCTCCATCATATAAAGAGACTACCTTCGTAATTTAAAAAGACTACATCCGTATTTTAAAGTGACTACCTCCATAATTGGAGCAGTAAACCCTTGTCTAGGAAAAATGATTGAGATACCTGTGTGGGTCTATCTAAAAATAGATGATTTTTTCGCGGTTTATAGCAAAGGCAAGTTGCGCAGTTGCGCACGGATTTGACGCTGAAAATGATGTTATCTTCGTTGCTGTTAATCGTGAATTGTTTCTAATTGCTATTAAAGGATGCCATTGTGAAACTGAATTAGGCATGAAATTCTTTTAATGCCAGCAAATCACTTGAACTTTGGTCAACCCTTCCTTTAAATCTGCAAATATTGGAGATTACAAAAGTTCAAGTTTTACATGTTTTGAATTATCTCTGATCTATCAAGGGTCTGTGAGTATGTCTCAGAGTAGTTTGGTTCTCCCCCGACCTCCAGATGACCTCCCTCTAGGCTTCTGTGAGAACCTAGCTAAGGATAAAGAGGCTTTAGGTGACCTCAATATAGGTTAGTTCAATATATACTATTTGCTCTATTTTAAGAATATCTACTTATCATTTTTTAGATTTTTTATCAATGATTTAGTTTTAAAGTTTCAAAGTAATTTTTAACTCTTGAACTAGGTATCAGCAGAGAACTAGTTTAACTATTTTACCTATTTGAACTTCTTCTCTTGCAGTTTTACTTTTGGGTGTTGGCGAAGGACGTCCCTGATTTGATTTGATTTGATTTGATTTGTTTAAAAATAAAAGGTTTTCACCATTAGTTTTCAAAGATTTTGGGATTCGAAAATTAACAGCGCCCCAAATGGACGGACATAATGAAGTAAAAAAAAATGAGAAAGGAGAAAAAGATGAATACATATTAACTATACCTCGTACTTTTTTATTTGATAACGAATTATTTATTTATTTTAATACAAATTATTTTTTTTAATTAGGTAAAAAAAACATTATCAAACATAGAACAGTATCCAGAGGTTAGATTCAATAAACGAGAAGAAGTAGTTGTTCAAGGTGTGTTCAGTTCAATACTTTAAAACGATGGAGAAAACGTTCAAATATCTTAACCTAGTTCAACTACTACTGATTATTTATTAAATCCGGCCTTAGCTCAGGTTTGCTTCTTGATATCACAGTATCGTGGGATATACAATAGAATGTTTTCTTGCACTAGTTTATTTTTATAATTTTGCTTTTTTAGGACCCCCTCCTAGTTATGCAGCTCCTACCCCTCCTGCTAGAAAATGAAACTGTTCCCATATCTGCAGAGTAGGATAGAAATTCCATTCCATTCTTCTAGAAAATGAAACTGTTCCCATATCTGCAGAGTAGAATAGAAGTTCCATTCCATTCTTCTAGAAAATGAAACTGTTCCCATATCTGCAGAGTAGAATAGAAGTTCCATTCCATTCTTCTAGAAAATGAAACTGTTTCTATATCTGCAGAGTAGGATCTAAGTTCTTCTAGAAAATAAAACAGCTCCCGCTGTTAAAATCACACTTTGTTCTAACAGAGAATCTTTTTTAAGTTTCTTATACTAAACATTTTAAGTTGTTAAACTTACATTCCGTTAAATCGTTTTGTATTCTTTAAACTAGAACGCATAATTAAAACCCTATATATTTGTGTACAGTACGTACATGCAAAGCATAATTTTTTATTTTAAAGTAAAGAGCTTAAATACTTTTGTTTATGTTTATAATATGTCAATTACAAGTTTTGTAAAATTTGAGGGTTCCCTAAATGTAAAATATATGTTCAGTCGATATATATTCTATATACAAAATACATCATGTAATAAAGCTTCAAAATTCTTATTCAATTCATTTTCATTTCAGTTGATACAGTTATTAATGATACAAAATTTTTAAAAATAACAAATCATTGAATGATGTCATATATTATACACGTGCCTCTTTAAAAGTATGAAATATTTATTCTAAAATATTTATTTTACTTCTTAGTATATCTGATTTATTTATGTCTGCTAGTTGCAGGGGCATAAATAAGAATTCTGTAGGGGTGGGAAAAACTTTTGAGCGGAAATTTTTTTTACCTAACCCCCTAGAAAAATATCATGATGTTATCAAATTATTGGTTTTAATTGGGTTTGATTTGCATTTTTCACTCATTTCTGGCATTTACAAACTCCATTAAATAAAGGCTTCATTTCATACCTTTCAGGTTTCACCTTGTTTTATATCCTTCATTATAGTTATTCATTTTACATTAACTACAAAGATCTGTAAACAACTGAATTTATGTTTAGTAAGATAAAAAATAATAGTTTTACTCAAAGAGGAAAAAAGATGTTACTTTTTAAATCTTCAGAAAGGTACTCTGCAAAACTTTGAAAAATATCGTCTTTGTTTCTAATTTCTAAAGTTTTCTTGTCGTTAATGTAGTATGTCAAGATCTTAAATAAATCTAATATGGAAATGATATTATTTAGAAGTAAAAATGTATTTTTCATTTTTATTTCTATTAAAAACAACTAATTGTAATGACATTGACTATAAGAATTTAGAATCATTTAGAATATGATCTTATCTGAAATATCTGAACTATTTGCACATATAAATTATTTTCGTGCAAATTTGAAAGATAGTCAATTTTAAAATCAACCTTTTTTAATAACAAAAGCAAAGTAACAACTCGCTTTTCAGGGCCTGAATAGTTCAGGGGCAATTACCTCCAAAATTCAAGGGGGGGGTGCCCCAAGATTCTAGGTTGGGGGGGGTAAATAACCCCCGTTATTTACGCCACTGGCCAGTTGTTTTAAAAAGAAAGGTTTGGTCACCTAGAGTTGTTAAACCGTTTTTTTCTAAAAACGATCTTTCGATTTCAGGAAAAATGTTTTCATCGAAAAAAGAAGCAGATCGCTAACCAAGGGTTGTTAAAGGTCTTATAAAAACGGCTCATTTAAAAACAAAAGACCAAAACCTTTATAGTCTCGACTTAAGTTTTTTAAGGGATTGTAGAGGTTATTTCACAGGACCTTGCATTTGTAGCTAGTCTTAGTGTCATGGCCGGCTGATTCATAAAATAGTGGCCTTAAAATGTTCCGACTTAAAAAGGTGAAAATACGGGGCATTTTTTAATTAATCGTTAATATTAAATTCAAGATAATTTATATTAAATAGATAAAAATCTAAAGATCTGGGTTGAAACACTTTTTGGAAAATGTATTGAAAAAGGGGTTTTTAAACCGAAAATCAAATGAATGTTAAAATATTAAGTAACCAACGGACAAATTAAAAGTATAAAAATGGCTAATGCACACAACTTTTCCAACACTAAAATTATCAATATTTTTTAAGTCAGGTCAGATAGTTTCCAAATTGTGTAATATGTCACGTGTAAGATATGAAATATTTTGAATGTGCAAAATGTGAAAAAAATTAAAATTCTTTGTTCTATTTTAGAAAGTGTACTGTACAGCAACTTTACAATTACGCATTCATTGTAAAGTGTCAAAACTTGTTCATCAATAAAAATGTTATGCAATTCTAATCGAATCTTAAAAATTTTTCGAAAAGTGACTTTTTAAAAAAGACGTAAATGCAAAAAACGATGTTTTGCTCATATGTGCAAATTATTTTAACAACCCTATTTTTTGACGAAACTGGATTTCCCTAATATTTAAGAGCTTTCCAAAAATGTATAATAACTATTAAAAATTAAAAATAAACACAAGTTTAGATAAAAATTTATTTATAAATCATAAAACAGGCAAATAAGACTTAAGGTCTACCAGTTGCACCTTCACTACGGCTTATTTCCACTGCATCATCTTCCTCTTCAAACTCAACACTTGTGGATTTATCAGGGAATTGAGGACAGTCGTAGTCAATCTCAAACTCTTCGACACCACCCGGTATCCGCAATTCCATCTTCAGCTGGTAGTATGGCGCGTCTTTGAACACGTAAACTTCTCCGTCTTGGGTCAGTAGAGCTTCATGAAACCGAGTAAGCAAAGCAGTATTCTTGAAATCAACACAGTATTCCACGTAATTAGGACTTGCTCCTTTACCACCTTTTCCTCCACCTTTGCCCCCTCTCCCACCATCATAACGAACACAGACATTGTTGTTAATGATAAGATCTGGGGTATAGTGGTCAGCATAGTCGAACAAAATACATCCAGGTTCATTTAGCTGAGGCTCTTCAAGGTGAAGATTATCGAACAGTTCTTTAACTGAAAAACTGCGAAGATGATACAAGGTTTTAGCATCAATGCAGTGTCGAAACTCTGTTTTATCAAATACATAAAATCCTCGTATGACAAGACAGCCGATGATTTCGTGGATTTCTTGATTTCCAAGCTGAAGATTAGGAGCGCCATAGGGTAGATAAGCATGGGCATTCTAAACAAGAAAACTTTTTAAATGGTTAATTTTTTAATAAAATGTATGCGAGGTGTATTTTCTTAAAATAAGCTTTGTATTCTTGAAGTTTAGTCTTCTGATGAATTTTCGTATTTTTTCGTAAAAATTTTGCATTTATTTATAAAATTCCGCATTTTTTTGCCAAATTTAGTCTTATAGCATACTTTAATTTTTTTGGCGAAATTATCGCTGTATTTTTTTCGCAAAATCACATTTTTTCGAGAAATTTGTATTTTCTATTTAGCGAAAATTTCGCAATTTTTGCGAAACAGATTGAAGCGAAATTTTCGCGTAACATTTTCTTTTCCCTCCAACCCCTAGTGCACATTTAATGCATATTTATTTCTCGAAATATATTATTAAAGAGGGAAAACGCACATTCAAATTGAAGTTTCAAAATTCATTCATTACAAGTTTCGAAAAACTTCCTTTAATGTCTTGGTGTTAAAATTGTTTAAACATTTAAAAGTTTAAACTCTCCCTCTCTCAGATGTCTTTGTGGGTAAGTCTTTACTTTACACCTTACCCTTTGATTCTTGAAGTTCTGGTAAGATGATTTACTGTATGCTAGGTATGGATTCAGCTCAAAACCAGGAGAATTGCCTCCAAACGGATTCAAAGGCCTAAATAAATATAGTTCATTTCAGATCTAAAAATTACAACCCATCCCCATATTTTTACTGGGAGATCTCAAGAAATGCATTGGGACCCTAAATTTACATTGGGAGAATGAAGACACTCAGATTCTTATTGGCGACCCAGATTTGTATTAAAGACAACCTTATTTCATTTTGAGACAAAGATTCATGATTTAATGAGGAGACTTAGATATCATTGTACTTGGAGACGGCTCATAATTTGATTACAACTCAATATTTCATTAGAGACCACCAGATTTTCATAAGTGACCACCAGATTTTCATAAGTGACCACAAGATTTTCATAAGTGACCACCAGATTTTCATTAGAGATCCCCAAATTTTTATTAGAGACGTCCTAAAATTTTTCATTGCGCAGACCCAATATTTTATATATGTATATTTTTCCATTTCAGAACTTTAGAGTCTCGATCGAAATTTGGGAAGTCTCAACGAAAATTATGCCTATCCGATGAAAAACTGAGGATCTACAATTAAAATGGAGTCTTCAACTGACGTCCATGAGGGTCTCCGATGAGTGGGAGTCTCTTAACAGTACTCCAGTGCGAATACATTTTCCCAGACCCAAAAAATTAACTTGCTGCAAAAAACGGATCACGAGAAATTTTTATGCAGACGATATTTATAAGGTAATGGTACATTGTCTATACGCAATATCCCCCCTACTGAACTTCTGACATATTACTTTTCCGACCTACTGCAATATCGGACCTGCGCCAGCTGTTAATTTTGTATTATTTGAGGATTAGGTTAAGTTCAGCATTTCTGGGCCGAGCGCTGCGGCTTGGACAGGCCTGGGGGGCAGAGCGCTGCGGCCACAAATCCATGTAGCAGCTGTAAAACCACAAGCTAGTAGGTCGGATGTGTAGTATAGTGGATTTGGCGTAGGTCAGAAGTGGAGTAAAGCGGATTTGCGTAGGTCGAAAAAGAAATTCCATCTATTTATAATTTAAAGTTTAAGCTTGGGTGAAAAAGGGAATAACCTTCGAGGCGATATATCCTGCAGAAAATATCCAGGACCATATCCAAGAACAACCTATCAAATATAATCCATAATAATATCCTGTACCGGGACCATATCCAAGAACAACCTATCAAATATAATCAACAAACTATCAAATATAATCCATAATAATATCCTGGACCAGGACCATATCCAAGAACAACCTATCAAATATAAACCATAATAATATCCTGGACCAGGGCCATTTCCAAGAACAACCTATCAAATAAAAACCATAATATCCTGGACCAGGACCATATCCAAGAACAACCTATCAAATAAATATAATCCATAATAATATCCTGGACCAGGACCATATCCCATAACAACCTATCAAATAAATATAATCCATAATAATATCCTAGACCAGAACCATATCCAAGAACAACCTATCAAATAAATATAATCCATAATAATATCCTGGACCAGGACCATATCCAAGAACAACCAATCAAATATAATCCATAATAATATCCTGGACCAGGACCATATCCAAGAACAACCTATCAAATGTAATCCATAATAAATTGCAAGGTTCGTGTATGCAATTATTTTACAACGATACATGTCAATTACCCCGTATATTTAATAAAAATTAAGTTTCACCAATTGAAAACAAAATTAAACAAGTACAAAAATATTCTTTATCATCAGGGTTTTTTGGTAGCTCCAATCCCTCTTGCATGATAACTTACAAAGCGCTTTGTTCTATGCAAACAAGCAACCCAACGCCCCCCTCTCACACTTAACAAATTTCTGTTACGTCACTAGATACATCCAATTATCAATTTACAACCGGCCGATTATCCATATAATTAAAAACTTCGCTAAAATATGTATTTGTAAATATAGCTAAATATAAAATATAAAATGTATGTATGTATACGAGTGCTTTTTTGAATTCCACTAATCAATCTAATAGTTTACCTGACTTAACACAAGGATACCCACACAGCCCCACACCATTATCAACCCTAGAAACGATTATACTAAATTTACTCATTTTCATGTAAAACAATAATAAACAATAATAACAACAACAAACACCGTACTGCAATTCAGAGTATGTAAAATATATTAAGAATTAAATAAAAATTGTACCATCATTATTTATCTAGTTCACCTTTTCACTCTGAAATGTTAATACTTCCAATATGAGAAAAATTCGCAGAAAAATTTAAAACACAAATCTAGATATTATGTTTTTTAACAAAATACGCAACTATTGTTTAGAAAGATTGTTAAGAAAAGGGTTAATCACCCCCTTGGCCCCTCGACTCTAGTTCCTAGACTAGGCCCTGACTTGAAAAATAAATTACAGAACAATTAAGCTTTTTCTTCTCTTTGTTTATGCAACAGATAAAGTAAAATTAGTATAAATTATTAATAATATTGATAATTTTGAAATAATGTGCTTTTCTAACGGTAAAATAAGTGCAATGAAGCCGAGTAGTATAAAGCTAATTCTTAATAAAAATTAAAGTTTGAAATTGAAGTGATACATTTTTTCATTCTTCGATTAAATCATGAATAAGCTTTCATTGCAAAAAGATTAGGTGCGTGCAGGTAGAGAAAAGAAGGGGCAGAGATTATCAACGTTTCTTTAATGTACATTTACTAGTCATAAACTAGTTTTGCATTTCTTTTCATTTATTTAATATCTTGATAGATTTCTTCATATTTGTATTTACAAAAAAATAATCTACCAAAGGTAAGCGTCAGTGCATGTTGTTGTTTTTATATGGGTCCCTGTGTATTCTTGAATGTAATGGAGTTTTATTCCACTCCACCCTGTATGGCAAATAGTTGTTACAACACAAATAAAAGAATTTGCAAGGTTTAGGATTTAAATATCAGTGTCTGATATTTTTGCAATTATAATCTAATACCTCACATGTTTAGGCCAGTGTATAGCGTTAGCTTGAGAAACAAACATATTTTTATTTATTATGCTATACAAAACTTTTTAATTATTATGTCATGCAAAACTTTTTTATTTATTATGTCAAACAAAACTTTTTTATTTATTATGTCATACAAAACTTTTTAATTATTATGTCATGCAAAACTTTTTATTCAATATGTCATACAAAACTTTTTTATTTATTATGTCATACACAACTTTTTTATTTATTTTGTCATACAAAACTTTTTTATTTATTATTTAATACAAAACTTTTTTTATTTTTTATGTCATGCAAAACTTTTTTATTTATTATGTCATGCAAAACTTTTTTATTTTTTTATGTCATGCAAAAACTTTTTAATTAATATGTCATACAAAACTTTTTTATTCATTATTTAATACAAAACTTTTTTATTTATTATGTCATGCAAAACTTTTTTATTTATTATGTCATGCAAAAACTTTTTAATTAATATGTCATACAAAACTTTTTTATTTAATATGTCATGCTCTTCACTTGTCTACTTGAAACCATAGATTCATCTCATCCGTGGGGAGAGGGGGGGGGCTAAGCCAACCCCCCCCCCCGAGACGACTGCTCAGAATTCATTCAGTCGTTTTTCTTAAACTCACTTTTCCCTTCAACTGTAAACATGTTCCTTTCTCGGCCAAATCCTCTAATAAACTAATAAAAAACTATATTTAAGATAGAATTCGCCAAGAACGTTAATTTTAACGAGTTTGAGGTCGTCAGAAAAGTCTCATTCTTTGTGTGTAGCTCTGTACGTCATGTCGTCTCTAAGCTTAATCATATTTAATGTATTGATAGAAATTGAACAATTTAAAAATGAATCTTTTCCTCAACAAGCTTTTTCCAGAGCTTTTAGCAACTAGGTAAATTAGAAATTAATTAGTAGCGGGTCATCTCTTTTTTTACCATTTATCATCAGAAATTCAAAATTCTTTAGCGTTGCCTCAAAATAAAACATAATTTAGACGAGTTCGAGCTTTATTCTTCTTTATACTGGTTATGAGAGGGGAGGACTGCAGAAGTCCTTAATTAGTAATCAACACCACCCAAACGTGTTTTGCGGCATGCGCGCTCTTGAATTGGTAATCTCCATATTGTACACCATAGGACCATTACCAGAGATCAATATGGTATTATTTCTAAGATTTCTAAGAAATAAACGATTTAATGTTATGCTTTTTTGTCTAATTACCAATTAAGGTGGTGGAGATTACCAATTGAGGAGCGCGCATGCCGCAAAACATTTTTGGGTTGCCGCTTTTCTCAATTGAGGACACGCGAACCCCCCCCCCCCTCGTTAGGAACCATGATTAGATTTCTAAAACTTTCCAATTTTTTTCCAATTCGTCTCATTTTTGACAATCTGGCAATCTCGTGTAAGCAATTTAAGATCATGACTGTATGTCTATTTTTCATCATTTAAAATTGCTAAACGGTCAATCCAAGTAAATTCAAATGATCTTTCATTAAAGAACTGCATCTGTGCAGTTTAAAAGAATTTAATACTTGAGGAAAATGTGATTGTCTCTTTCATTTTTATTGGGACCGTACCCCTTTAAATTGAAGGTCACTTCAAATTACATGAACTGTCTCTTTAGGTTAAAATATCGTCTTTGTTCAAACGTATTAATTGATGGATGTGCTGAATGTAAAGATTTCCATGTGTAAGGTTTGGTGTTCTGTGGCTCCTGATTATCAGTCTCCTATTCACTGCACCCTTCATTACCCTCTGGTATAGAAATACTAAAATAATATTTTAAAAAATAGAAATGAAAAGAAAATTATGAAGTTTTTTCCCGTCAAAATATCAATTTTTACTCTTTCTAGGATTGTGTTTTATCATTTACCATAAATAACATTTTAAATTTACAAGCATACAAAAGGGAAACGACACTGTGAATAAAGAAATACTTAAGTCTTTCTAATGTTTTCAAAGCAAAAAGTTTTTTAGTACGGTCCAATACTATGAAATAGGAAGACGACAGAATATTAATACGCATTTGCTGGTGTTACATAGCAAATATTTTTTACAATGCCCTTGTTAAATCATTAATTAAGAAAAATGGGTCTGTTTACACTGCACGATTGCTGTGTCCCATGCTCATAACTTGAGCCTTACAGTCGTCTTCGTATTTAACAGTCGTCTGGTTACCACTAAATGTCACTAAATCTCTTATTATGTGAAATGGGTCTGTTTACACTGCACAATGACTGTACCTCATGTTTAAGGGACTGTATAAAGTCATAACTTTAGTCTAAAAAAGATATTTTGAAAACAGGTGAAAATCTTTTTTTTTATATCTTAAAACTCTAATTTTATTTATTTCAGTGTGTGGTATACTAATTACTACCATCAGGTGACCTTTAAAGAAATTGTTCAAAAAATGGGGAATATTCAGAGCAAACAAATATTTATTATATATACATATATTGCTGATCTGGGTGTTTGTTTATAGTTTGAATACAGTAAAAGTAAATCCCAAATAGATTCAAGTACAATAGATGGCAACGTAGAATTTGTGCACTCTCTGTACAGCTGTATTTTTACGCCACAAGTGTCAATTTAGTTTTTGTGTCCGACAAAATTTTTAATAATAATGATAATTTTAAAATAATCTGCTTATATGACAGTAAAATAAGTGCAATTTCATGTGTTTTTTTTATTTTCTGTTCTACACTTTTTTATTTAATCTTGGAAAACATGTCAACTAATGTGAGAAAATTTCTTTTTCCATGTTATATTTGACACTTGTGACGTCGTGTATAATTGGTTCTTTTCTCTGTTGCCACCTGTTGTAGTTGATAATCTATTTGGTAAAGCCAGAAGGATTGATTGGCACCAAGATTTGTGTAGCAATTTCCTTGACTGCAATTATGTTGTCTGTCTGTACCAAAAGAGTGTGTGTTAGTTTAAAGTACTGGTCTGCAAAGCAGTGCGACTGGCTTTCTCATGCCAGACCACTACCAGCGCCATTTCCATTCCCTTTATTCTTATTCCCTGAGCAATCTAAAAAAAGTTGTCAACCTTTATGATTTTAAAAATCTGTGAAATTTGAGTTTTATCAAGCTGAAAAGAATGGTAAAACTATAAAAACAAACAAAAATCTTTCTAACAATTTAGATTAATTTAAAAAATCGGAATCTAATTTACCCTCTTTTCAAAAATTCTTATTCCTTTCATTTTAAAAGAAAATTAAAAGTTTTCAACTAAAATATATAAAATCATAAAGTTTATTTAAAAACTCCTTTTTAGGTTATCGACAGTGAACTGGGTTCAGGGGGCACTAATCTCAAACTGGATATAGGAGAAACGAAAACATACACTTCCGCTCCAGTAGTAGCTGTTCGACCAGTAAAAGGTTCTAGCGGAATACTTTCAGCTCTTCTCAAACCACCCTCAGGTTCATAATCAGTAATTTTCTAAAATTTCGTTTTTTCTCTTTTCTTGTCCCACACAAGGTTTTCGAAATAAAAAAAAACATCGACACGTTTCAATAATCATCAGAAAATTTTCTATTTAAATATTTTTTTTAAATTTAAGTATTTTAAGTGGCTCGCCAAAAATCTTTGAATAAAATACTTTTTGCTTTCATTGGATACATTTTTAAAATTTTGACAATTTGCCTGATCAGAAAATTATGTTCATTAACTAACGATTTGATTTGATAGTTTAGGCTTATATATATGTACTGAGCTGAAAACTTTAGAATTGTGGATATCGAGATCAATGCTCCTCTTTTTATTAATCTTTAGACTAATACATTAGTATCCGGGAAATTGCTGAAACTGCAACCAATCAGAGTTTTGATTGTAGAAACCGAAAAGCCAATCAGAAGCCATGAAAAATTCAGGGATTTCAACAAAAATAGGATTAAGCAGAAAATCAAAAGTTTTGACAATGGATATAAAAATTTAAAAAAAATTGTCAAGACGACATTTGATAAATTCTTCCGATGTATTCGTTATTAAGGGTTTTACTGTAAGATAAATCAGATTTGATAAACTTTTTTAGTTAATTTTGAATTTAACTTTTTTCTCTTTTAGGTGTTCAAATATTTCGACTCCTGCGTCAGAAGTCTGATGATTATATATCAGATCCAAACTGTCTGATATTATATAGACTTGCTTATCTAGCATACTTAGCTGATAGAAATCAAGGTTTATTGGCTGATAGAGATCAAGATTTATTAGCTGATAGAGATCAAGATTACTTAGCTGATAGAGAACAAGATTTCTTAGTTGATAAAGATCAAGATTACTTAGTTGATAGAGATCAAGATTTATTAGCTGATAGAGATCAAGATTACTTAGCTGATAGAGAACAAGATTTCTTAGTTGATAGAGATCAAGATTACTTAGTTGATAGAGATCAAGATAACTTAGCTGATAGAGATCAAGAATACTTGGATGAGAGAGATCAAGATAACTTAGCTGATAGAGATCAAGAATACTTGGATGAAAGAGATCAAGATAACTTAGCTGATAGAAATCAAGAATACTTGGATGAAAGAGATCTAGATTATTTTTTTGATAGAGATCAAGAATTAGTTGAACTCCAAGAACTGACGGAAGCTCAAGAACTGTTGGAAGCTCAAGAATTGATAGAAGCTCAAGAACTGATTTTAGCTCAAGAACTGATTGTAGCTCAAGAATTGATGGAAGCTCAAGAACTGTTGGAAACTCATGAACTGATGGAAGCTCAAGATATGATTGCAGCTCAAGAACTGCTGGAAGCTAAAGAACTGTTAGATGCACAAGAAATGTTGGGTACTCAAGAACTGTTGGAAGCTCAAGAAGCGGTTGAAGCTCAAGAACTGTATGAAGCTCAAGATATGATGGAAACTCAAGAATTGATGGAGACTCAAGAATGATTTAAAGCTCAAAAACAGCTACAAGATCAAAAACTGAAAATTGCAGAAGAGATCATTGACACCCTAAAACTGTTATAGCTGAATATTTGAGAATTTCAAGAGGAAGGAGATGGAAAGCAATTTATCTAGCATAAACCATTTCCTTTAGAATGAGTTAAGATACATATATTATTTATACATATTGAGCTTTCAAATTTATTTTGTGACTTGGCTGGTTTGTAAATATTTACTACGCAATAGGTAATTTGATTACGTAATCAGAATTTTAAGTTTGAAAATTTTTTCTTTGATGAATGCTGACAAGTTGTAACTTGAATCTCTGAGCAGGAAAATATTTCAGATTTTAAATAATTATTATTTTAAATAATTAATTTCATTTATAAAACAAAATACTGTAATAAAGAATATTAAAGTAATCAATAAAGTTATTAACTTTGCTATGCTTTTGTGAAGGAAGAATTGAAATTTAAAGGATGATTCATAATAAAATCTGGAAAATTTATCTTTTTGAGGTATATCCTATGTTATAGTGAATATATCATGATCATACATTTTAATCTAAGAAATACAGAAGTATGGAATGCACCATTAAAAAGATTATCAATCTTCTCAAAATTGTCTCACTACATTAATGAAGGTCGGGTTCAGAGGGTTTCGTGTAGTTACACCGTTTTCAGTTTTAGACTTTGTGATAAGAGTTGTGAAACGTTTTGCTACGTTTTTTAGGGGGTTTGAACGGATTCACACAAAAAAAGGAGAATTTTTACAAAATTGTATAATTCTACACAATTGTTTTTCTTACATTTTCTCTTAGAACAAAAATATTGCAAAATTTTATAAAAACTCACATCCATAGAAATCATCGATTATTTAATCGACGAAAATATGTGAAATCTTAAGAAAAATATAAAAGTTGTTAAAAAAATTTAATCTTTTTAAAATCACTATGTCTTTTAATTAAAAACAAACTAAATCTATAAAAAAAATATAAAAATTTTAAAATATAAGATCTAGCTTAAAAAGAAACAAAGAAAAACATTAAATCTATTGAAAAATTAAATTTTTGAATTGGCCAAAAAATTATTTCAGGCTTTGTTAAAGTTCTAATTGATTTAAAGCAAACAGAATAAAAAACTTCAGTCCTTGTATAACAATGAAACGGTGTAAGAAACGATTCACAGTTATATAAATAACTTTTTTTGTTTTTGAGTCCTGTCAAATTGAATGAAAATCCGCCAAAACATGTATGAGGAATCCGGGGAACGATAACAGTTTTATTTTTTGGGGGGCTGGGAGTTACAGGGTGTTCCACAAAACATGACAGTTGGTAAATACAGAGTGTCCCAATAAACATGGGAATTCAGTGACGAATTCGATATCGTCTTTTCAAATTATTCTTTGATTTAGTATAGTGATACCTACTGAGAAAGCTGTAATCTGTAAGAGTTTCGTCTGCTATGTTCACGTTTTCTTTGTTTATGTTTTAAGACTGCATACGGTTGTACTTAGTAAAAAAAGAAAATTGCAGTAAACAAACAGATTAAACTTGTCCGTCTTCACTGTTCATCTTGCGGATACATTATTGACACATCTTTACAGCCCTTTACCGTTTTCATAAATTAAACTCATAGCAGACATAATAATATTATGGCTTTTGAAAGTAGGTATTACAATGCTAATTCATAACAAAGACGATATTCCCATGTTTTTTGGGACACCCTGTAGTTTACAATGTCTTCTTCCCTTTTTTGTTAAGTTGTTTAATACAAAAGACATTAATAAAAATATTATATTGGAGTCATATTATAGTAAAATTAATTTCAAAGTAAAATATATTTGAGAAAAAGATCTTTTAAACTAAATAAGCTGCAAACAGCCTTTCATATCAAATACAGTGTATGGAAGACGACATCCAAATTTTTTACCAACTTTCATGTTTCGTGGGACACCCTGTACTATCATGAAATCTCAGCAAAGATCCCGCATCAAGCGAAAAGTCTAAGCTTAATTGAAAAGCACCCTTTAAAGCTAATCTAATGATTTCTGTTCATGTCTCTACTGCATAAAGCCGCAATTTCCTTTCCAAGAAAAACCACTATTTAAACTAATCAATAAACAGCTACAACAACTAGGATATTTAAATTATCCTTGATAGATAAAGATTGAAATGTGAAAGGTCATAGATTGTTTTAAATGAAGCTTAGTATATCTACTACATGCTATGTTTGCTAAAGAATCGAAGAAAGCAAATATGACTTCACAAAGAAAGGAATAAAAAGATTAAAACGACTAAAAGATATAATCAAACATAAAGAATGTCAAAAATCAGCGCGAATTAAAATAATGCTTAAATATGCCCGTTTTTCATAGAATCTATATCTCTTTCACACTCCATAAAGTTTTTTTTACTTTTTTTTAACATTACAAATAAATCTATAATTTTTATTTTCTAAAAATTGTTAGTTCATCGTCGAAAAATATTAACAATCCACCACCAATTTATATTAAATATAGTGTAAACAATAAATATGTAACTTTCCTTTTCCTTTTATTTCAATTTTTATTTTTTTTAGAATTGGGGGGAAATATTCCCACAACCTCTACTTCTAGAGGTTTTTAAATATTTTCTCCTGAAACACTTAATTTTGTATGTTTTTGTTATATTTCATCAAAAAATTATTTTTTACTTTTTTTACTTTTTACTTTACAATTTACACAAAGAAAGAAAAAAACATTATTGAAAATTATTGAAAGAGGATTATCTGAATTGAATCCATTTTTTCGTTTCAGAAGTCTCATCTTTTGTGTCAAACTCTGTAAATGGATTTAAAAGTATTTATTTATTTAACTCTAAATACAAAGAATGGATTATTATTTATAGACCTAAAACCGGAGAAAAGTTTGAGGAAATCTCTTTAAATGTAAAAATCTAAAAGTTGATTTTTAGGTAAATTTAGTCTTTCAATCGTATAATCGTAAAAATTAGTTTTTTGTTTTTGAAAATAATTTATTTAAAATTAGCTTTCCACCGATACAATGATATTACAGCTTGAAGAATATAGTCCGATACAGATAGGATAGAGTATCCAAGTATAAGTCCCAAAAGTCCACCTAATCCATTGATTAACTCCCAACCATCGTATAAATAGTTTTCTTCGCTTAACTAACAGAGAATAAAATTTTTAGAGTTCTGTATTAAACGTTGATTTTTCCCAAATTAAATGTCGGTGATATTTAAGTTGTTTGTGTTTTTTCCGGAGACCTCAGTCTAGGCTGAGGTTAATGAATCTTGCTATCATTTTCCACAACTTTATAGGAAGTTAAAGGGACCGTTCACTTATTTGGGTAATTTGAGGGTAACCAAAATAGTCTATTAGCTATTCATTGATATTAATCTTACTTTTGAAAGACATCTGTGGCCTGAGAAAAAGCCGATTTATCATTCAGAACAGGCGCGTAGTGTAGGTTTTTTTTTTCACGAATACTTATTTGTCCCAAGAGACATAGTAACTACAGTGAATCCCAGATATATGAATACATAGCAAGAGTTTTTATAATGTCGTATTCTCAACATATTTCAGATCAAATGCCGCGGAAAAACGAGCTTAAAATATCAATTGCTGTCCTTCATATTTCAGAGCTTTTAATTTACCTGGAATTAAAATAAAAAGCATTTCTTAAGAATTATCAAAAAACTTATGACTCTACAATGATATTTGGATATATTTTCACAAATCGTGTTCATCCTTTTGAAGCTGCGAACATCTCAAAAGCTTTCTTTTTGTGCAGAACAATTATGAAATCATTACAGCTGTCATAAATTTTTGAATAAATTTCAAGACGACATTTCATGCACTCTTGTTCTGTTTTCTTTCATGAGATGTGCTGTATAATATCCCGCTGTTGGGAGCATCTTGGGTCGCTAATGCTGGTAAACAGACGGTAAAATATCTTGTTTCAAGATTTACTAACCTTAGCCTTTGAGGGGTTGGGAGAGTAAAACAGAACTACAATTGATTGCGAAAAAATAACCGCCAAAATCCGCGAAATTGATCCGAATAGAACCCATTTTACCTACAGTGATAACAAGAAAACTCTGGAAGAAGAAGTCGACTTCTAGACTTTAAATAGTTCAATGAACATGAGGCACAGCAATTGTGCAGTGTTAACAGATCCATTATACTCAATAAGTGTTTAATAACTTATTTGTAAAGCTGTTTGCTTTGTAACTTTAGTATTACTTTAATGTCGTCTTCCTATGATACGACCTTCTGGTTATCACTGTATGCTATAGTAAAGCTGATGTTTTCCTGGATTAAAAACTAAAATTTTTACCTTAACTTTGCCTGAATACGCCTCTAGAAAGAACTCCGAAGTCCAATTAGTTTCCCAAGTAATCTTTTCTCTTTTTATATATTTTATAGAGAAGGATTCCTTCACACAGGGAACTTGACAACCTAAAATTATTGATTAAAAAACATAAAATAAATTTAGTCTAATTATCCACGAACCATTTTTTGAGTAAAATGAGTTTTACTAAAAGTTTTTGGTTTCAAAACACTTTTCTCACATAGATTCAGACCACAGTGGATTACGGTCAATTTGAATTCGAACTGGACCGATCCCTTGTACCGGCCTTACTGTGTAGTGACGTGCAGCAAGTACTGCCCCGCCCCTATTTTCTGTCAGTCTGGTTTAAGCTTAGATGGCGCGGCCAGACTTTTGCAGTACCTGGCGTATCATAGGACTATTTTATCTACTCCACTAGATTAGTTCAGTGTGAGAAAGATTGGAAAATTATGTATTAATTTTCTAGACCAGGGCCGCGGGTCGTCTTTGGTTTGCAGTCTAACCTTGTACAATTTAAAACTACAAAGTGCTTGGTACTAGCTGTAATTTAAATAGGGTAATTGGCAAAATGTTGATAGGTTTTGAGAGAGAGCATGCACGTTTTGGATTGCTGTGATTTGCTAGATTTCTAAAATTTATTATTAAAATCAACTAATA